ATTGTAAGCTGTCTGGATGGGGATTCCAGCTCTCCTGGGCTTGTCTGGTTCCCCATCCAACAGGGGCTCTGTACGCACTAGCAGTCAAGACCAGTGTCCGCAGAGGAATGTCGCTTGGCTGCATGATAGATTTTTCAGGCAGAAGATGCATTTGTATTGTTTACTGGAGGCCACTAGAAGCCCATACTTCCTTTCTGTGCTGCAGTTCCTGTAATTTGCAGAGTGGTTTCTTCACAGCCCTCCCTCTTCTTTTTTTTTCTTTATTTCTAAGCAAACTAAAGTTCTGCCATGGTTGGAACAATTGCTGCTCCCATTTTAGAATAGTGTTTGAGGAGAGATGGTGTAGCAGAGAATTAATTAGAATAAAAGCACTGCAGGCTAAGTGTGAGCATGTGCCTCTGCTGGTAAAATGGTTCCTGCTCTTAACCAGCATCAGTTCTGTGGGGCCTGAATTCAGCATAAGTCTGGTAGCTCAGATTGACTTTATCACTCCTAGAGGAATTCATGCATTAACCATTTCTTTCTTCATTCCTGAGAGTGTCTGATGCTGGAGAACAAGCCTGGAAGGTGGGATGAAGATCTGTCCTCTACCTGTGGACAGATTCTTGTGTTCATATTGCCAGTGCAAGTCACACAACCAGTTCTCAAATCAATTGCTGCTAGTACGTTACTGTTTGCTCTCTGGGCTTGCTCTTGGAGACTTGTACTAGCTCCTAAATGGAAGATTTATTATGAATGGTGATCAGCTAACACTGATTTCTTTCAGGTCTTGAGAGGAGAATAAATGTCTTCTTTCTGGGCTTATAATTCTTTGTCCAACTTTCTCTGATTTAACATCTCTGTCGTGACAATTCTACACTTTTTTTTAAAGTCAGTTCTATGAGAGATTGTTCTTACTATTTTCTTTGATTTTTCTGAGATGTGGCCTTGCCTTTGATATTGCAAATGAGGTCATAAATTGACTGATACAGTGACATGAGCATGTTCTCTGTTCTAGCCCTTTACTTACGCCTGAGCGTCTTGTGCAGCTTTATTTGGCACAAGACAGCACAAACTCCCAAGTCTTAACAGATACTGAGATTTGAGCTAAGCACCTTGTTACTTCTGAGGACAAAAAGAAGACCCACATTGTTCTTGGAAAAATGTAAGAGAATAAGCCCTGAAGTGGGAACTAATGCATTTTGTGACAACTCTGGTATGGGAGACAAGTACCCAGGCTACATTGTGTTCTCACAGGAAGGTGTTGCATCAGTTAGCTTCAAGAGGCTGAAAATAAGCTTTCAAGATTTTGAAGTAGATCTGCCAATTATTGGCTTATGCTCTTGATATGTATTTAAATTTTCCTTGCTAGAATGAATTGCTACGTGGATCCATCATCACTCCTACCTCTACTCAGTCTCTACCTCTGCATGTGCATTGACTCAAATTTAGGAATTAAATATCTGTGACGACAGAAAAACACTTTGTGATAGCTACAATTAGCACTCTCTTTTTCTGTGGGGAATTTTTAGAAGAATAGTAGGCGTCCATCAGGAGGAGGGAACCAGGGGAAGGACCCACATAATTTCTTGCAGTCTGGGCCTTCAGTTTTCTTTTGGAGTGCAATTAACACTCTGCATGTGTGCACACATGTGTGTAATGAGGTAAACGAGACAACCACTGGGGATTTCTACTGAATGCATGTGCAGTATTTTTCCTAAATCTTTCTCCAATGTATTTAATAATAACCTTTATGAAGGTTTTATTTTTAATGTATATTTAGCATTTCAATATCTGGAACTAAGATTAAATTGCCTTTCCACTACAATTTATAGAATTTTCACTTCATAAACTAACTCTAAATAACTTCTGGCTGCTTCAGTTAGCTTCATAGGGGAAAAAAAACCAAACACCAACAGAAAAACAACAAAGCACTTTTAGGTTCTCCCCTCCACCCCCTTCCTGATCTCAAATCTGAAGCTGTTTAGACTTGATTTAGGGAATGCATTTTTTGAGGGATTTTTTGGAAATACATTGCCATAAGTTTTAACATAAGTTATAGATCAGGCAAGAACAGAATTGAGTAGAAGTAGTTGGAAGTGAAAATGAACTGGAAATTCATAGATGCTTTGTAATTTGGGATGAGATTTTAAAACCATCTTAGAGCCAGCATTACCAGAGTTATTGAGATACATAAATATCTCTTGCAGATCTGGGAACTTGGTGGTTATTAGGTGAGAGTCTTGCTCCTAAGTCCTATAGGTGGTATTTTCTCCTGCACCTATAGGCAGACATGTCTGTGCATTTTATAGTACTTCTTTTAAGTCTTCTTGCTAATGCTATAGCTTTTATCAGTAGGGACTTTCATTTTGAGTGAGCTATTGATTTATAGGATAATGCCTGAAGTTTACTGTGTTCAAAGCTTTGGAGCAGCTCTCATGAAAGGGTTGGATCCTTTCCATCTGCAGTTAGGAAGCAGTGGATACGGCCAGTGGAGCCTCCTGCCACTTCCCTCAAGAACAGTACCTTTGCTTGAAAATCTGTTAAGATACATTGTGCTTGAGTTTGGTTTGTATACAGTGAAAGCCTGAGCCAGAGGATAGAAACTCATATGTTGGCTTTCTTATCTTACTACTTCCTTCTAGTCCATTCTGTGGACAGAGCAAACCAGTACAGCAGACCCATACGTCACCTGCTTAGTTGTGCAGCCTTCAAAAAAAGTGGTTCAAACCTTTGTTCTTGGCATTGCTGTTTGTGACCACTAAACCATTCTCCCCTTTGAGGGCAACAGTAAGATCCACAATTCCTGATGTTCCCCTGAGGTCCAGCAGAATATTGTACAAGCATGTGTCTCATCCTCCATAATAATTTTCTCCTTTGATATATGAGGAAACAGTAGATTTGCAGTGGGTTTATAGAAGATGCAGGAACATTATCGTAGCATGCCCAGGACTCAAAGGTTAGAAATGGAAAGAAACAGAGTTGCTTGTGTAAACTTAATTTATTAACCATTGTGTATATGGTTGGAGACTGTGGACAAGCCCATGTGGTTTCTTTTGTAAATACATAACTGATGCATGACAAAAGGTATATGAAGGAGTCTGCTCCTTCCAAGACAGTAAATGGATGCCGTCGCTGTCTCCTTAGGTTTCCTGTATGAAATCTGTTTGAGCAAGTCTGCATTCAGGCTAGCCGACCACGATTCCTTTGTAGTTGATGGAAAGAAATAGGTCGTTTAGGATCTGATTTATCTCAGCTTTAAGGAAATGCCCATGCTAGGTGAGAACATCATGTAGCTGAGCTAGAGAAGTTCTTGCTGCAGGATGTTGTGAACATTATTTGAGGGGCAGCAACTGATTTCTCAGAGGGGATCCTAACTTCAGCTGTGCTCCAGTAAAGATGCAGGTTTGTGTCATTTGAAAACCTGCTGTGTTTCTCCTCTGACTGTGGAGAGAGTTCAGGGTAATTTCTCTAGATGTAGACCTATAAAAATTGAGGTAAATGTTGTCCCTCAGGTGATGTTGGGCAGGATTAACCGAAATGTCAGTCACTGACTTTGCCACCTTTATGTTACTTTATTCTAGTTTTAGTGCAAAGTGGCTTAGACTAGTTTTGTGTAGAACATGTATATTGTTAGCAGAAAAGCATATTGAAGAAAGATGTGATTTCCCCCCCCGCCCCTTTGCTGTAAATCACTAAAACTAGCCTCAGTGAGCTTTTCCATTGCTATCTCCCTGCCAACGCAGGAAGTGTGTCAGGCTTCACTTATGTGTAACACATGTTCAACAAGAGCTGGGTTTAGAGAGCGGCATAACTTTTAAACCTTAAGCGCTCATTTAAGCGATGTTTTTTAGTTTTTGCTTTTAAGGGACTTTTCAGTTAGTGAATGATGCTAGCTTAGAAGCACTAAATCATGGAAAAAAACCTCGGCCTAAGCGCCTCCAGCATTGCTGAAGACTCTCTGCCCTGCCAGTCGGCTCTGTCCCTCACTTAGTGATATATGGGGATAAGTATTCCTGTTTCGGACTGGCCCTTAACTCTGCGTGGGACTGCTTGTAAGAAGAGCAGTTCATAGCAAATGCAAAGGTGTCTTCTGTGGTGTGAGCTTTTCTTCCCAGTGCACTGGACTGTGACTGCTATTAAATTACAGACCATATTGCACAAGCCACCAGATGGTGAAGATAATTGACCTAGGGTCACAGAAGACTTGGCTAGATGTGAACTGGTGATAGAGCAGTGAAATTAAACAGTTCATCTTTTTACTGTCACTGTGTGAAGACTTGACCATATGTGTTTCTCTGTGTCATCACTTTGGGCTCAGTTATATTCTCACATGGAGGTGCACCTCACATTTTTGTGGGTGTACAGAAGGTAGAAGCTATGCAGGCAGAAGTAGTCCTTACCTGATTTGCATGTAGTATTTCCACAGGTCCCTCTGCACACAGGGATGAAACTGGGGCCAAGTCCAAGAACAGGCGATGCTTCACATTACCAAAGGTATCAAGTAGAGGGACTTAAAGAGCAGCAGAGGAGAAGTAGGAAAATCTTAGGAGAAAAATATTTTAACTATCTCAAAATTCTGATTTTGGCTGTACAAGTTGTGTGTGTCTGTGGGAAATGGGCTTACTTTCTTCTTTGGAGCATTAAGCTGTCAATGAGCAAAGGCACAAAGGGCTGGTTCTGGAGAATGAATGATGCTCTTGTCCATAAGGGTGGTCATTCCAGGACAGCCCTGTGAGTGACTGGAATTTAGCCCCTGCTTTTGCCATGTTTTTCTAGGACTTCAGTTTCCATGACTGTAAATGCTTTATATTTCATGAGAATTACAATCTTTCTTTTTAAACTGTCCTAAGAGATGGAAAAGCTTGGTCCCCTCCCTGCCCTTCTCCCCATTAAGTCCTTTTCTGCACCTCCCCCTTTCAAGGAAACAAAAACACAAGAGTAGCCAACCTCTGGGTTGCAAAATATTGATTTCATGCAAATTAGATGGGGGGAAAAGCCAGATGCAGTCAGTTTTCTGTCTCCTTTACGTGGAAATAATACTCCCTAAGTGCTTCTCTAGTTAGAAGAGAGAAAAGACAGCAAGTGTTGCTAGTATTTCTTGTATAGAGGTACCTGAATGTTTGAATATGAAGTAATGCACAATGAAAGAAATCTCTGGAAGCGTTTATGATTGCCATCTATTAGGCATGGAAAACTAAGGAGAATAAGCAAATGGCCTTCATATGTTCCTCAAAAATATTTTCAGTTCTTCCTAATCGACTGCCGTATTTCTCCTAGCTACAAAGTGCAAGAATGCTCATTTTGCTGAGTAGAACTGGGTAAGAGGTGGCTTTTTTTCCTTTTTTTTTTTTTTCCCCACCTGTAGTTATAGTTTTGTAGACTGAAGCATAAATCGGGCAGGAATAAACAAGCATGGTATTTAAAAGGAGCATGAGGATTTGTGACTGCATGCAATACTTGCCAAGATTTGATTTTCTGTAGATGTTTTTGTACTGAGTGAAACATCTTCATTCACCTCTGTATGTTGTTTACTCATTGTAAATATATAATTACTTGTGTCTTGAATCCTTATCTTATGTATCACTAAACTCCACAGTGAAATTCTTGGTAACAGAGACAGTTTTTTTCGACTTATTTTAATCAGTAGAATTTATAACTCTCTGGTCAGAGTGTTTTTCTGTTACTAAGACTGATGATATGAGCTTCACTTAACTAGTTTAATGCTTTCTTGAAAATTTAAATCAGTTTTCCCATATAAGTTGTTTGCTAAATAAAATTCAGTAAAAACAGAGAAAGGATAGAGTCAGGCTAATGTGCTGTCCAAAGTTTTTGAGCAGACAGTGGAGAACAGAGCTGTTGTCATTTGAGACATATGTGGAACCCTTGGCACTGAAGAAGGTTCTGTATTAAAAAATGTTGGACTTGTCTGAATAGATAATATCTGCAACCTTCTGTGCCAGGGAGTGTTGCTGTGTTGAGTCAATGACGACTTTCTGTCGGAGCGTAATGAGAGAATTGTCTTGAGGCACCAAGCCATACAAACTTGAAGAGACAAGCCAGCCATGGTTGAACAAGTGGCCTTCAACAATGTGTTCCTTTGAGCTTCTAAGTCTTGCCTTGTACTTGTGCCACAAGGGCCCAGGCAATTCACCAGCCCAGAGAGGCTGTTCTTTGTCACTAGGCACTCAGGTCTGAGTGGAGAAGGACATCGCGGAGAAAATAAAGCGGAAAATCCCAGGCAAACACTGCATGGTGGCTACTTCCTCGTGCAGAGGAGTCCCTTTATATTACCTTGGTGGTTGCATTTATTTTTTTTTAAATACACTAATCTTCAGCTTATTTTAAAAGATTTTCAAGACAGTGGTAAGTAAGCAAGTGATTTCTCAAGCCTTTTTATACTTTCTCAAAATATATATGGTAGGTAGAGATCACCACAGTTTGTTTTTTTCAGTTGTGACAGGAAAGCATAGTTGAAAGGCAGTTACAATGTACATTGTATGTGATTATTGTCTTTAGAGCAGTGTAATAGATGGCCTGTTCTCAGAACATTTTATTGATAACTTAAATGATTCTTGTGTTGTTTTTTAACCAAACTAGAAAGCCTGCTTTGGCCGAGTACTCTCTTAGGAGCCGAATGGGCTTCATGTGGTCTTTGGACAGTGTATTTGATGCTCTGTGTACTATTCTGAAATGATCCATATGCCCATGGTGTTTTGTCTTTTCCCCTTTGAACTTACAATATCCCAAAAGAGTAAGACACAAAGTATTTCCCTGTAATTAATATCTTGCTGGTTTGAATGTCTCTAACAGTTTTTCAATCCATCTGGTCATAATCCTCAGAAGAGTCCCCATGCCTCAGTCATGCAGAGAAACTGCTGTTCTTTCCCATAGTCATTCTGCTGTGGTATTCTTAATGATTCAAAAATAATCAACAAAGTCCATTTACTTGCTCAATTTATGTTTTATTGCATTTTCAGTAGAATCCATAGTACATAAATCTTCTCAAAGTACACTTGAAATAGCCATAAATGGCAGCTGAAAATCTCTCCAAAGTAGTACAGTGTTTGTAGTCTACAGGAGGATTTGTCAAGCAAGCATGGCTACTGTTTTGTGGTCCTTCTAACTGAGCATTAAGAAGACAGAAGCAGCTTAGCAGTAAAATGCTAGAAAAAAAGGTGCCCTTTTTTCTTTTGTGAGAAATGTTTTATTTAGAGAAGAAACCAATGCACCCATGAAAAATTATCCTAAACAAGCATGCAGGTCTTGATTCTGCACATATCAGCTGGACAGAATAAGACCTCTGTGGCTTTTTATCTAAGGTAAATGGAAAGAGCTTCTGTATTTGTCTTGTTTCAGAGATTGTTACACCATCATTGCGGTAATGATAAATCTTGATACACTTGCTGTAGTGGCACTGTCCTCTATGGTGACAGGCACAAAAGAGGAGAGGGATGGAGATAGAGAGCAGTTAAGGGGAAGGAGTAGGTGAACATGGTATGAGACCACCAAAAGGCATTTGAGAGGAGAAAAACATTGGTTACGTGTGTATGTTTTGCTCTTGGTTTACAAAGAAAATATATTTTTTAAAAAAATAAAGTATGTAAAAATAATCCTATGACTGAGCCTTTGCTGAGTTTCCTCATGTGGTTCTCTGAGACAGCAGAAAGTAGCCGGCTCTGACTCAAAAGCTGTCTCTGGTAACTCATCTAATAAGACCTATCCTACAAGCTTGGGAGTCATGCCTGTTTTAATGAAGTTCATGCAATTTTTAGATCTGTCCTGGCTCCCTCTCTGCAGAGAGTAAGTTTGGACCTCTGCAAAATACAGGTTGTGGCTACTCAGTTGTACTGGGATGTCCAGGAGATTGGGCATTGCTGCACTGGCCACAGTGAAGCATCAGAGATGGGATTCACCCCAACAGATCTGCACTGGAGTTACTTATCCTTGTTCTCAGCCTTTGGTGGAAAGAAAGCACTCGTCCTGAGGGTGAATTGCCTAGGTCGCCTGCTTTCCACTGACTGTACAGAGCGCCTAGGGTGACTAGCTCAGATGTGGATCTCCAGCTTTAGATGAAATGGATATTCCTGTAGTTTACTGACTACCCTTCCTGCAGAGTGGCAAAGGGCTGATTCAGAAGGCCATTTAATCATGTGCCAGTCCGTCAGGGAAAGACATTTAAAAAAAAAAAGAAGGTGGGGGGAGGAAAGTTTAGATAAATTAACTACAAGCAGAATATTCTCAGGTAGTCTGTTAAAATGTGAAGTATCAGACAAATACTTTCCTGTAGGAGATAAAACCTTTCACTTGGCTGTTGAGTTTCAAATCCATATTTCACCTATAATTTGAAAAGTTGCTTTTTTAAAATCTACTAATTCTGTGTGTATATTCTTGCACATGCACATATACAACGCACACATTCTTGTCCCTGCAGCGTATAATCTGCTTGTTGCTGCTGACCAGTGCATACTCCAAATTAGATATGCCAAACCTGTGAGTTCAGGTGCTGCAGATGCAAAGAGATTTTGTGTGTGTGTGTGTGTTTTTGTGTTTGTGAATGATGTTTGTCTGCACAGACAGGTTATATATGTTTATGTCAAGGGACCAGTTAAGAGACTGGCTTCCTGCTGTAGGAAACACCAAACAGGACCGTATGTAGCTGGAACAAAAGCAGCTCCGAGCCTGGAGAGCTCGTCTTTTCAATAGATGAGGCATATGTGGTTTTGGGGAAAGGAATTATGTGGGTGCAAGGTGGTCACGGTGTTGGGTCAGACATATCACACCAGCACTGTGGCTTTATGCATAATAAATCTGTTCAAAATGAACAAAATGGTTTGGAGTGTGTAGGAGGTTACCAAGGAGAGATTAACTCAGAGGGGGGAAAAAACCCACAAAAAGGGTACATTTTAATTTTGTCTAAACCAGAAAAGATTATTTTTGTTCATTCAGGACAGAAGAATCTATGCAAACTTGGGAAAACTGTTACACAGCAATTTGTAACACAAACCTGCAGTCTCCCTTTAAGTTGCATGAAGCTAAAAACCCCTGACCTTTCTCTGTGGGTTTCAGAACTCAAATATTCAGGGTGAAGTAGAAGAGAGTAACTGGAAAATGGCTAAGAGGGACAAATGGCTAAGAGGGACCTCAGGTTCTCTCTTCATGCATCTTTTTTATCTGGAGGCTTGTGCTGCAGACGTTGGTGTCCAGGGACAAAGTTACTGTCAAGTCAGTCCTGGCTGCTCTCCCTTCCTCGCCCTGGGTTTACACACATTCACTGGTATAGTCACACCCTAAGCCAGTCCTGGAAAAATGATCCAGGTTATGGAAAAACAGCCATTAAAAAACCCCATTAAGTGAATTCAGGCATCTAGACTGAACTAGAACAGGGGCAATTACAGCACTGGTAGATTGGGCAGGAGGAGGCAATCCTGGCTTGGCCTCAGCCAGTGCAGGACCTGTGTTGTCATCCTGGCTGTGTGGCTCCACTGGTAGTACAGGAGGAAATCCTATCAGTTGTTTGTTCACAAGCAAAAGCAAACCCTGAATATAGAGTTTCATGCACCCTCAGGTCCTTCTGGAGCAGTGTTCAGCCATGTGCACACCTCTGAGACCCCGTACTTAGGGTACAACGTGACTCTGTACCACCCTGAGTTGGCTGTAGCTGCTTGGGATGATCTGCGTGCATGAGTGGCGCGGGGATGTCAATCGGGAGAGGGATTTTTGGAGCAGTGTGCTGGCTGCTGTTAGGAGGCAGTGTAAACGTGGTTGGAGCAGTTTGGCAGAACTGCAGTACCATGAATCACAGTGTGAAGAGGTAAGGGATAAGTCAAGGAGGGCTCTTACCTTTTTAACAGGATCTAAACCTCCTTCTCTGACCCCATACATGCAAGCAAAGGAGGTGATTGTTTTGTTGCTGAGATATGGAGGTTGTGTCAACCATATAGCATCAGGATTTCCCTGCCTTGAGTGCTGTAGGTGGAAGGGCATGAGAGAGCTCTGCACCTTCAGCCATGGGTAAGTGTGCTGGAGCTAACACAAGGTTGGATCCTGGAGTAAGAGAAGCAGTTGTTAAATGTAGCAAGTGTGGGTTTGTTCTTCCAAGTCACTGCTTGAGCAGGGAACAAAGGTAGGTGGTGGCATGAAGTCCTCACACCCTCTGAGCTGAGGCAGGACTTGTGTTTAGGTGCTAAGGTACTCCCATGCTCAGCATCCCAGAGAGCTGTTTTATCTAGAGAGCGAGCTGCTGATGGGTGGAATGGGTAGATGGTGTTACTCAGTAAAAGAAAACAGAAATAATGGTTATTCTGGTGTGTAACTAAACTCTTTAATTCCCTCAGAGAATCAGTTACCAGGCAGAACGTTTTTGTGCAGAGAACAAAGGCCTTAGAGACATGGCAAAGTAGTCTGGATTTTTGGTGGTTGTATTTGTTTCTTACATAAAACATCTTGGCGATGGTTGTGACAGATACAGCCAGTGTGTGACTCTCTTATCAACGTGGTCCTATTTCTAAGTAACGCTAATTCTGCCCACCTCTGGCTGCAACCTTCATTGCAGATCTGTAATCACTCTGTTTTGAACCTGAGGCACACAGAGGTGGAACCTGTCAGTTATAGATGTATATGGTACCTACCTCAATAGTGTCAGCATAGCCAGCCATCACTCTCCTGCAGCTGGGCTGTTGCGGTCATGTCCCTGGCTCCCCTACCTTCTTCCTTGACTCACTGGAGCTCTTAATCTCATTTTGCAAGATCTGCAGAGGACTAAATATGGGCTCAGAAGTGTTATTTTTAGAGTCTTGAAAATAGGCTAATGTACAAAAAAAGATTTTTCTCACAGTTTAATGAATCATATTTTGATTTTGGAAAGGGAGGATGGCAGTAAGATGGAAGGGCTTTTCATGTCATCTCCTTAGTCATATAAGCAGCAGAGGGTCCATCTGTGGTTCTGGTGTCCTCCCAGAGCTCCATGTGCAATGTCCCATCCCATTCTTCCCCCTTAATCTGTTTCCAAAACTTTTTTCCTTATCCACCCACTTTTCCTCCTTCCTGCCAGCCTCTGTCCTTTAGCACTGCCCCAGATGTCTTCTCCTGTGCCTGCTGCCTTGCACTGTCAGCTGTGTACAGATTGTATTTCCCTGAATCGATTTTAAGGAGCCATGAATAGAGGTGGATTTCAGGAAAATGCCTACTGTTCATTTCTTGGCTTCTGCCAGGATGGGTTTCAAGTGTTCATGTTCCAACCAAGAGGCTCATTGAGAGTCTAGAGCTGGACCGATGCTGCAGAGATCACAACACCAGAGAAGTATTTGTTCTGGGCTTTGTGACCATGTCTGTCTCAGCCTCTTGGGAAGGATGGCAGTTATCCAGGGGGGATGTGCTTGCTCTGACTTTGAAACTATGATGTGCTGTGTAACCTAAGGTGGGTCATCTGGCTGAGGTCAGTTGAGGGATGATGAAAATGAGTTTAGTTCTCAACTCTGTACCAAAAGAAAAAGGAGGAGGGGGAGTAGGGGCGAGGGAAGGGGCAGAAACTGTTGACCTTGAAGTGCTGTGCTTCCAGTAGTCTTCCTGTCTGCTGCCCTGTGTTGAAGTGAGCACAGGTTTGGATCGCTAACCCTTTCCTCTGACCCTGTTTGGATCGCTAACCCTTTCCTCTGACCCTGGGGACTCCACATTTCAGAGCACAAGTGAGCAGATGGATTTTATTAAACTTAGCCAGTTTTTAAGCTGAAAGAGCTTTCAACCTTGTCTTTACACAATGGTGTTGACATGGAGGTCTTTGCCTTCCATACTGTTTGCCTCTTCCCTCCTCTCCCCCACCTGCAGTACAGTGTTTAAAAGCCATCTGAGCACTGCCCACATAGTTATCACGCAACTGTTTGTCATAGCTAATGCTTTCTATGTATCTCACCTCATAGTTGTTTTGGCTTCAGACAGAACCCCATCCCCCAAATGCTTACCACTGGATGTGCTCTCGCTGACATCTGCAGGAGAGCAGCAAGTCCAGCTGTTGACTGAAGTGATCCTAGCAGCAGCTGCTGCCCGTTTGGGGTACAGATCTTCTCAAAGAAGTTGTGACTGTGTCTTGAACACAGAATGTATTTTTACTAATGCCCTTCCAAGATAAAAGGCCGCAGAGATGACCACCACTTACAGACTACTTAGACAGAAGCCTCTGTCTCATTTGGCATAATCCAGATGTTATCCTGTTAATTTCAAGGCTGTTACTCAAGCAGAAAAATTGACACACAGGAGTTGAGAGCGGGTCTACATCACAAGCCTTTGTCAGGGAGGCCATCAGTCAGGGCTTTGATAGGATGTGTGATCTTTGGCCAACACAGCTGTGCTGACAAGAAGTCCTCAGTGTAGTCTTCTGCTAGTTATGCCAGCAAAATCTTGCTTTTACTGGTATTGCTGACATGGGGGAGGAGAAGCTTTCCTGCAAGTTGCTGCCAGTGTGAGCTCTGTCAATGGTGACCTCCCTTTACCCGTCCTGTAGACCCCAGTCCGGCTGCTCTGTCAGCCTCCCCGGTAAGAGCTGGCCTAAGTGGGTACAGTTGTGAGGTTCCTGTTAGGAAGCCAGGACTGTACTTGCCTTTATTATTACTTTTTTTTAAGAGTCTTTTGAATGCATTTTATAGAATTTACATCTTGTTCTCGAGACGGCTTTGATCTTGTTAATCTTTTCATCTATACATCAGTCTGTTGTGTGAAAATGCTGGAATGTGCTCTTATTGTGGCATGGGGTTTCTTTGGTTTTGGTTTTCATATTTTTGCATAGTTTAGAGAATTCTTCTTCCCCGAGGCTTTCCCTCTGTCTTGATCCTACATGAAGTTGACCACAGATGTGTCAGGTTCTAGAGTGCCACTTTAGGCCATATCTTTGAATTTTCTTTGCAGGGATTTCCTGATATCAAATTAAAACCTTTTTCTTTCCTCACATTAAGATAAAGAATGCATTTTAGGTGAGTCTGCACATTCAACTGTGAGCAGACATGAACTCTCTGCCTATCTCCACCAGGTGGGATGCACACCAACTTGAAACCTGAAGTTTTGTGGTTGCTACAGCATGAGTCTCTCTGTCTATGTTGTCAGGTTGGGCAAATAGTGTGCTGCTGGGGTTGTGATCATTTGGCCAGTTTGAGGCATGGGCAATATGATTAAATCCATCTGTGTTTGGCCACACAGACTTAGCCCTTAGTCTTGGTGACTTACATGTGATCTTCTCCCCTAGTTCTTACCATAGGTTTAGACCTCGGGTTATGCTTTCATAGTTACAGCTGTGCTTTCCTAAAATGTCCATCTGCTTGTGATAGTAGTTGTTCTTGTGAAAACCTCTGTGTAAATGCAATCATACCTGTGAAAAGTAATGCCTTGTGATATAACTTTAACCCAAGGGAAAGTGGAGGAGGGGTCATATGGCAGCCAAAAAAAAAAATAATCCAAACTGTTCTGCCTGTACATGCCTATCAAAATCTAACCTTTGTAACAAGTCACTGCTGCTGAGCCAAATCAGGATTTTTGAAGTTGTTGGACCCTCATTGAAGACAGCGGTGTGACAAGGTGTTCCTTTTAACTTTTCTCAGTGTAAACTAGAAATTGCTCTACTTAATAGTTGATAGCATCATGGTAACAGTTGGTCACTTCATCTGGGAAAGGAACTGATGCCTTTGGTTCTGCATGTACGTGTTAGGGAGTTTGACTTGTGATAATGGGCTGTGGAGGAGAAGGTTGACGCATGAAAGGCAGCCACTTGGGAAGTGTGCTGCCAAAGCACAGGGCCTGATTTGCACAGCTTCTCCATTACAGACAATGCTTGCTTTAAACACTTCTGCATCGCCCAGTGGTATACTTGGGGACTGCACTGAGGTCTCTCACATGCTTTGTGTTGACTTTTCAGAGGCTGAGACATTAGGCAGCACCTCAAGATTTTTTAATATTTGTTGTCTTTGATATAGTTGACCTGATGCAGGTAAGTGTAAACCTCTTAGTTTATGAAAATGTAATTAATTTCTTTTTTTTCCTCTACCTTTTGCCTAGGTCCTGAGGGAGACTAATAAATTGGCCGAAATGGAAGAGCCACCTTTGTTACCAGGAGAAACCATCAAAGACATGGGTATGTGAAGAGGAAATTCCTTATTATTTGCTGAACAAATAAAATATCCGTAGAGCAAAATATCTTGGTGGTCATTGACCAACAACAGCAAATTGCTGATGGTTTGAGAACCATGATCAGGTTGTTTCATTAATCAAGCTTTGGCACATCACATGAGCCCAAGTAATAATATGTCTCCTCTTAGCATGTAGCAAATACAAGGCAGTTCAATGTATTTTAGTGTGAGTGATGAGGCAGGTTGTAGAGCTTTGCATTTTCTGCCTCCTGAGAGGACATGGCTCGACTGTTTCAAGTGGTACTTACCACAGGGTAACTTCTTAGGTTGACACAGCACTATTGTGTGTCGCATCTTTGTCACAGACTGCAGGAGAGGATACAGTGCAGCTGCAGGAATCTTGCTGTGATACGAGGATGGGGCCTTTTTATTCCCATCAGGACGTTCTGACACGCATCAGGTTTGCTGATGCGCTCCAGTCTGAAATTCTGAGTATGCCTCTTGATTAGTTTTCTGTGAAAGATTTTGCATTCCCTAGTTTAACATATTGCCTTGCTCTTAAAGTATTATATATGGAAGAGTGCAACTTCTGTCTTAAGAATAAAAAAAACACAAAAACCAAACCTGAAAATACCTCACAAAAAAACCCCACCCCACAAAAAAAACCCAAAAAGAAGCAAAAACCCCACCTCAATGCTCTTTTTTCTACTTCTTTCCTAAGGACTCAGAATTTGTACTCCAGCCACACACTACAGACTGACTTCTAACTCACTCCACAAGCACAGATAGCTCTGACAGCGAGACTGTATTTTGAAGGGTTCCTGGGGAATGGTTTAAGAGATCAGAGTTACCAATGGTTTATCTGTTGGCAAACGATGTGAGGAGCCATGTAAGTCTGTAAGACTGGGTGGCTTTTGGGGTAGGCCAGACAGCAGCTGCCTGGTCCAGCAAGAAGTTAAAAGGTAGCAAAAGGAAATCTTTATTATTCATCAGCAATAATTATTTCCTGTTAAAAGTGTCAAGACAGGCAAATGTAATTCTGTTTGTATTTTACAGGAAAGGGAGGAAAAATTATTTCAGCCAGTCCAATAACCTAGGGTAAGATTGGCCCTATAAAAGACAGGAATTCTATAGGCAGGGGAATTAGTAAATCCTGGTTTCCAGTATCTTTCTCCCATATGACTTCTCTTATATCTAGCAAAGACTGAGCTTATTAGACTTTCCCTTGGTAGTAGCACTAGTACAGCCTACAGCCTCTCTATTATACTTAGCATCTGTTCTCACAAACAGTGAAACATTTTAATGCCTTGGAGATTCCTATTTATCAGATAAAGACTGCTGAAGTCATACAACCATGGTACGGTTAAGGTCAGACAAGCCATGTGTGTAGGTACATGTGTACATGTGCAGTGTAATTAAGTAAAATTGTTTCCTTAGGAAACCAAGCTAATAAAATGCAAATGTGAAAGGTAATGTGGCTTACAAGCTGGCAAGACCACTGTTTGTGCCTGGGATTCCTTACCTGGAAAACATTTTTTTAGTGCCTTTCTTCTTTACCCAGAAATCCTGTTCCTTTTCAGATGTAAATGCACACTTCTCTTATTAGTAAATTGGGTGGGGGGGGGTTTAAACATTTCAAAATTACATTTTGAGTAATGGGAACTCTAGTGGAAAAACCAGACAGGCTGCCCTCACCCATATTATGCTTTATAAGTGTGCTTTCAAACCTCTGTCAAACTAGTCTTTGAAAAGAAGTGATTAATAATCGGCCAATAATGAAACACTTGGTTTAATTAGAACTGGCTAGAAACATTTGCTGTTTAATTGTCCTTCAAACAAATGCATGTAAATAAAAAAAAAAAAAAAAAGAAATTGCTAGCGTGTGTGTATATATATATTTTTTATTATTCTTAACCAAAAGTTTTATGCTACGTATTTTGCTCTGAATTAGTCATTCCTGATATTTAAGGATCCTTCTCCATATCCAGATATCGAGAGTCAGTGAAGACTATGTAGAAGCAGAGCTGATGTGAAGATGATTTAGTTATATTGAGTTGCCAGTGCCCTAGAGTAAGGCAGTCTCTCTTCCTCCCTCTCTCCACACTAAATCTCATGGGATAAAGGTAGAAGAAATTCCGATCCCCATCTTGACACCCCAGTAGTCTTATGCCTCATGTGTGTGGTGGCTATCACCTGGATGGGAGGCGAGCTGACTTCACATAGCCCTTGCAAAATGGATCCTGTAGGGTTTGGAGTCTTAAGGTTATTAAGATGGTCCAAGGAGTTCATGGATCTGGCAGCTCTGGTCAGTGGGTCTGCTGAAAGGATCTCTGTGTGCTTGAGGGGTGTCATTACTTGGTGGTGATAGTGTAAACTATTGCCACAGCACAGCCAGCCAACTGCTTCAGTGGCAGAAGATGTGATTGGTCACTGCTGGGCAATGGCAGGGGAAGGGAATGACTTAAATGTTGGCATTTTTAATTGATGTAAAACAGAAGGGCAGTTAGGGGAGGTGTTTGCTGTGGAAAACCAGCAGTACCTCTTACCTTTTGCTGGAACAAGTGAGAAATGTTTGGGGCCTTTTAAGAAGGGGACTGTTTTGAGTCACCATCACTCAGGCTCAAAAATAATTGAGTTATTGCAGAGTAACTTGATCGCTGACTTCAGACTCAAAATCACCAGCAGTTGGGTGCTATACAGATTTGTGGCTGCTGGAAATTGTTCCTCTGCATGAGGGCCTTCATCCAGGGCTGACTCTGTGTGCAAGGGTGTTCAGAAGGACCCAAGCATCCTAAAAGCCACATGTAGGATGTCCTTGGTGACACAAACAAGCTTGCCGACGATCCTTAGTTTTTCTGCACATTGTTGTCAGCTTCAAATGTATGCATCCAGGCGGGAGTCATCTCCTCTTTTTGTGCATGGTGTTCTCAGCTACTGGCAATGCATTGCTTAGTAAGAGTAAACAGGTTGCGGCTGAGTACTGTTTTTTTCACAGGAGTGGCAGTTCTGTGCAAGTGTAGGATTCTAGGTGATGGTACATGCCTGGAGTTCAGTTTATACCTAAACTCTGACCTTCTCCACAGAACTGAAAATTGTGTGAGTTCTAAGCTAGAACCCCAGATTAAGCTTGTTTTCATTTCATGACCTGAAAAGTAGAGCCCCCAAATATTGTTGCTGTCATAATTTTACTTCCATAAAATAACCATGAAATTAACAACTTTTTTTTTTTTCTTTTTTTAAGCTAAGGATGTTACTTACATCTGCCCCTTCACTGGAGCAATTAGAGGAACCCTTACTGTTACCAATTATAGACTGTATTTTAAAAGCATGGAACGGGTAAGCTTTTGAAACTATCTGCTTTCATTGGCTATTCAATCTTTAGACCTAGATGTTCTTTGAGAGTAATTCTGTGTGAATCATAGCTATATGTTTGGGAATATAGACTTAAGGGAGCAGGAGCTGGGGAATTTTCCCCCTCCCCTTTTTAAACTCACAAATTTCAACTGTCTACAGGACCCTCCTTTTGTCCTAGATGCATCTTTAGGTGTAATCAACAGAGTGGAGAAAATTGGAGGTGCTTCCAGTCGCGGTGAGAATTCATATGGGCTGGAGATTGTGTGCAAGGTAAACTTCTATTTGTGTTTCACAGTAGGGGAAGGGGAATATATATTTTAAAAGGTTTTCTCTGTAGTACTGTAGGAAGTTCTGCAAAACATTTCAGTCAGTATGACTTAACACACTTCAAACCCCATCTGATTTTAAAAGCAATTTTCAGGATTCTCCAGCCACACTCTTTTGAGATGAGATCCAGTCCTTTGTTCAGGCTTTGTGCTAGGTAATGTCTTTTCTTCATACTAGAAACGTAGGCCTGCATCCCCCTAATGCAGTTCTCAGGGTTGTCCACAGGCTATTCCAGGTAGGCCAGTCATTGTGGAATATGGGATGCCTTTCGCTCCCTTGTATTTCAAGAGCAAGAAAGGGGCGCATTTCCCCCTGAATCATTAGCTTATGTCCACTTGCTGATGTGCTTTGTGTTGAGGGACTGGCAAGTAGCCTTCAGTCCTCCTTGAGGCTGTTCTGTCATTTCAAGGCAGTATATATTTCACATGTGCCTCTCAGGAGAGAGAAATGCAAACTTTAGTAAAAATTAACAATTCACCTCCTTGTATCTCCTTACTATAGACACACAGTGTAGATAAAACCGCCACCTCCAGTCCTAAATCCATACCTCCGCTGTTCAGCCAGGCCATGGCCCCTCTGTTTTCCTTGGTGGCCATGTGGGGATAGCTGGATTCTGAATCTTGTAGGTCTTGTGCTGCTTAGCTCTTGTCAGAGCCCCTTCAAGGATGAAATGATGCCACTTGCTGGATAAGGGGAGATAGAGGAATGAAAAGGAATCCCAAACTGCTCTGGTCACCACAGTGATTTTGAGGCACCAGGAAGCTAAACAGACTCACAGGCTGAGGGTGTGCTGAGTCAAGAGCAATTGATATAATCTATACCAAATCATTTCTGCCTTCTCCTATTGCAGTCATGATCCTCCCTGGCTACCGTAGGGGTGCGTGTGCTGGCAAGCTAGTTTGTTCCCAGTTTTGATCTGGATTCCTTGTCCTCAGCCATTTTGCCTATATGTAGATTTGCACACATGGTCAAGTTTGGAGTGAACTACATTGTTTCCCTGGGTGGGAGACCCAGGTGCAGACTATGTTATGGGTATTATGGCCCTACACAGCACACACACACACACACACACACATATATATATATTAAAAAAAATTTATATATATATATATATATATATATATATATGACAGCCTGCTTGGCCCAGGATATGCAGAGCAGTTTAGTGCAATAACAGAGTCGTAGCGATACAGCTGAAATGTTCTCTGTCTGACACCAGTTACCTAATCTCAGTTCTGTGAGAAAGCTAAGTCTTTAGCCATTTATCTCATTCTCTTTATCTCATTCTCTGACTTGCTGTACCATCTTCATATGCCTGAACTTGATAGCTCATTTCCTGCTTGTGGCTTTTAAACTGTTTACTACAAGTGTTTGAGTTGTAGGCTTGGCTGGAAAATCTTACCATCTTATAGATGCTTTATTTAGTTCCCAAATTTTATTTTGTAGATAAGTACAGAAAGGGCGTCCTGGGTTACTAGTCTTTGTGGAAACTGCAGCTGTGCAAAGTGGAGGAGTTCTCAGTTTCAAGACATCCTCTTGAGTGCTCTGAGAGATGGAAGCTTTAAAGGGAGATGACATTGGTTGCTTTGCAACAAACTGGCTGGACTTTAGCTCCCTATGCACAGTAGTAGGTACTTTGTGAGGCAAAGTACTTCCCGTTGTCTTCTGGCGCAGCTCAGCATGAGAGCCCAGTAGGAGCTAGGAGGTCTGTCTCACAAAGTCCTGACTATCAGAGATAGCCTGTCCCTGAACAGAGCTCTCCCCTAGACTTCTGGCAGGTAGAGAGCTTCACGTGAAGGCAAGATGCTGCAGGTGCACCTGTGCACTCCCTTGGCTCCTCAGCAGTTGTGGAAAGCTTTGTTGAAGGCTGCAGACAACCACTGAACCAAGCCCAGAGTTGCAATACAACAGTGTTCAAACTATAATATTAAATCAGTACTAGAAAGAGCATCATAATGTGACCCTATTTTGAATGCTGGCTTTTAAATTTTCTTTGGATTTTAAAGTGGTTCAGACATCTGCAACTTGATTTCCCTCTTTTTTCCTAGGATATTAGAAACTTGCGATTTGCTCATAAGCCTGAGGGGAGAACTAGACGATCCATATTTGAGAACCTAATGAAATATGCTTTCCCAGTTTCAAATAATCTGGTAGGTATTTTCTTTTCAGTTTTTACCAAAAAACACCGAGTGGCAGTAAGCTCTTTTGTTCAGTCCCGTCTACTTGGTACAGTGTTCACATGGGGTGGGTTTTGTTGAAGGAAGAGAAATGCTAGTTTTTAAATCTGCTTTAGAATTTATTCTGTGAGAGTACCTGTATAGAACACAGGAAGAGTCTGCTGTTGTGTGGCTGGCTTCCTTCATGCCTTGAGAATGACTTATACATCCTCATAACAGGAAAAATACTCGAAGCCCAGTGACATCCATCAGAGGTTTACAGCTAATGGTGATTGCACTGCCCCAAATCTGAAATGCAGTTAGTCAGCTCTGTCATGTTATGGCACTGCAATTGTTGCTTCAAGTACTGGTTGAAAGTATCTAGTTCTTAATATGTAAGACTGTTCTTGCCCAAGTCATCTTTTCTTTCTCTCTTTAATAATAAACTCCTTTTGTCCATGAAGTACTAGACACTAGACAAGCAAGAGCAGGGGTATAGAGGGAAGTACGTTGTTGTAGTAATTGTCTACTACAGTGAGCATGTTAATCTTTTTCACAAAGCCCTAAAAGAAAAGTAGTGCAGTGGGAAAAAAGAAGGACCAGTCATGAGTTACTATTTGAGATATCAGACATCCTAGAAAGGGGCTCTGGGTGGGCTCTTAATGTTAAATTTTCTTTCTTTCAGCCACTTTTTGCATTTGAATACAAAGAGGTTTTCCCAGAAAATGGATGGAAGGTGTATGACCCCACTTGGGAGTACAGGAGACAGGTGGGTATTGTGCTATGTCCTTCCTCATCCTCTCTACTCTTCAGAAGTGAGACTCTGCAATAATATAATTACAAGTCGCATGGAACAGAGAATGATCCTGATGAAAAATGTCATGCAGGCTGTTAGGACATTGTTCTCCACACCACGGTGACTGATGACAGCAGTACAGCTTTAGAGATAGTAGCATCTACTGATGGAGATTACTCAGGCTACAGAGAGCTGACTTCAGGCTTTGGTAGAAAAAACTATTGCTCTGGCTTAGTCATCAGCCACTGCTGGCAGTGGGAACAATGGATGCGGTTTGCAGGTACAGGCATCCCATTGCTAAGTTTTCTTACTTGTATCGGTTTTAATTCTTTCCAGTTTTTTTGTCTCAAACAGGAACTTGGAAGGAAAAAAATTAAATGTAGGATGCCCTCATTATCTTGGAGAATCAGCATAGGGATTAACCTAGAGTGTGTTGTGATTAACCATATCTTAGAACAGACAGCTGTAGTGTGTCCAGAGTAGACTGGTCAAAGGTATTAATGATCGTGAAGTGATAGGCTGTCAGTTACGAATGCTGTGGTAAAAACTTGAGTGGTCCTCCCTTGGGGAAAAGATGGAAGAATTTTGCTTTTTATAATGAAATCACTTGTCATAAAATCGTCAAGTAGAGGAAACAGCACAGTTTGGTGATACGTTTGCCCCAGACACAGTAGACTTCTGTCTTATCCAGATCTGCCACAATAAAACCAATTTTCCTATGCAAAATTAGGAAATTTTAAGCCATGTAATTTATAGATTTATTTGAGTCTTTCCCATAAAACAAAACCAAACCAGACCTCTGTCCTGGCCTAGATGTTCATCTGATTTCTGGTCACCAAAACCTGAGGAAAGAATTAGGTTTTTCTAGCTCTAGTCTTCTAAAAGCCTTCTAAATTGGTTATCTAGGCCTGTCATTAACAGATGGGAAGAGAGTGCTTCACTGTTGGGGGTGATTTGTTCCCTCCTAAAATAGCTATCTAAGATAGATCGCTGGCTTCTAGGCTGCTAATTGAAAGTGATATGTATCTTACCTCTTCTGTCTCTATTGCAAGAAAGTGTGTTTTGCAATGAGATACCACAATCAAAAATCCTAGTAGAGACAAACTCTGATCATTTGTAATCAATGACACACATTATATCTAAGGTCGACTTTGACTAATAAGACTGGATAATGCAGCGATTACGACTTCATTTAGAATTTGCTTCTTTCTTGGTAGTTATTTTAAGGAAAGATCTGTTTATAAAGAAGGATCTACAGCCCAAGCTGTAGGGACAAGATGCTTCTTCATAGGGCTGAAAAGTCTGGAGTAAAGACTAGAGAATACCTGTGCTGTCAAAATAACCTCAGTTGAAAAGCACAGCATTCACTTATACAAGCTTCAGTTAAAACAAATGAAGTACAAAAGACATTCTTACAATATCTGGAAAGAAGGGAGGGTGACCGTTTAGAATATGGAGGTAAATTGTTCCAATTTCTTAATCCTATCATGTCTGTTTTTATAATACAAGCTTTTCTGTCCATATTAGTTTTTAAATTGTGATTGGCTGTACCTTAAATTTGTCAGGAGCTTGGTTACACAGTGAAAGGATATGAATATTTACATGCATGTGATTTGCAGCTCTTCATGGCCTTTCTGTAAAGAAAATGAGATTCTGGGCTGTGATCTGATTCTGTGATTCTGTGTCTTTTGTTTCTGGTCACATGAGGTAGCACCGTTGTGTGCAAAGTGTGCCACAAATGAGACAGACATTGCTGCAATGTGTACTATTGTTATGACCTGCTTTTGTATCTATCATTTTTGAGCAGACAGGAAAAACTTAGCCTGACTGCTTTTATGTCAAGAAACCAAACTGATGTTTGTATGCTGAAGCCCCCAGTCATTTGCTTACATTGGTATCTGCAAAAATTAATCCAAACCAGGATATTTTGCAGCCACGGCCTGTCTGAATTTTACCCATGATGGGCCACAGTCATTCCAGATCACGCAATCCATCTGTCCCAGTAGCTTATCTCCAAAAGTGACCAACACCAGCTGCTGGAGAAGAGGTTAACCATACTGCAGTAGATGTTTATGTTGTGATCTGGCCTGGAGGAGAATTTCATTTCTTTCATTAGATTGATTTAGGTCCTGCAGCATGAAGCTTTATGTCCCCTCCAAATCTTTTAGGTATTTCAGTCTGTTTATTTAATTTCAGCATTTATAACTATGGATGTTCAGTTTATCTGTGTGTATGTCTTAGCCTTTTTTCTTAATCCAACCAGGTCCTGTTAAAGCAATAACAAATACTACAGTAAATCAGGATTATGACCTGAAATGGCAGCAGGAATTTGTTAACAGTGAAACAAAACTGGCATCATCAAATCAGATAATGGGATTACCTGTCTCTGGCTGTATGAATTGTGATCAGAAATAGACAAGCGGGACATACACACTATCTGTAGGATCTTTTGGAATTGGTTTAAAAACTGTTAGAGAAGAGCTGGCCCAGGGCATAAGCAGCCCAGCAGTATGGCCAGGCATGAACTTGGTATATCTTAGGTGGGATCAGTCATTTGCCTATGGGAGCAGGGACACAGAGAGAGAGGGAGCAGAGTAAATGTAGAAGTCAACTACCAGGCATCCAGAAAAGACTTTTAGAGTAGGATCCATAGTAGCATCTGTGCCTACACTGGTAGACATGGCAAGTTTGTGTGTGGTATGATTTATGAATTACAATTTTTTTTCAGATTAGTATAAGTGTGTTGATATAATAGAGACTGTAGCAATTAGGAAAGATACTCAGTAAACCCCTGACTTCTCTGTTAGCATTATTGGGAAAGATGGAAATATGTAACTTATTAAAAAATCTGTGATGGTGTAAAACTATGGGGAGTAATAAGCAACCTGTAGAGAACAAAAGGAAGTCAGAGAGGTTTGGGACTTGGTCGGTAAATGGAATCACATGTGGCAAATGAAATTTAAAACTGAAATTGCTCCCTGATTTTTATTACACGCGGGCTGGCAGAGTATAAAACAGAATTGCAAAGTGAATAAGACTCAGTTGAAACTGAAAGGCCTTGAGATGCCTTTGGACTAACTTAAAGCTTTCATTTTCCTTAATAAGGTGGGGAGCATTTGGAAAATATTACAAGGGTTTGAGAAGCTGGAAGTGTGTGATGTCTCCCTACAGAAGTCATGCTTGTGTAATCCTATGCTCTGGTCATATGTACCAGGGAGCCACAATATAGGGCTGTGGTTGCAGCTTTCAGAGAAAACATATAGAAATGAATAATCCAGAAGAGGAGCTGACCTGTTTTGAGGATAAAAGAAGTGCCCAGCATTAGTATACAAACAGGGTGGGAAAGGTAGAGCATGAGAACAACATCCTATGGAGGACTGTTGAGTGTAACTTAAGGGAATAAAATGAGACTTGAACTGTTAAATGTCCCATGGTTTAACTGAGATCCTGCTTATGCTAGGTATTTCTCTACTGCAAAACAAATCACAGCTTTCTTGTGCTAAGTGGACGTGGCCTGGGCTGAGTACATGACAGAGGGACCAGCTAGGCCCTGGCAGTTGTATCCTGTGTCAGTGTAGGGATGTGCCTGAGCTAATATGCTCAGCCTCTTGATATCTCATGGCTCAAACCAAGTTTGAGAGACACAGTGCTGGTGTGTAACTCAGGTCCCTCCCTGCCTTACCCACTGCAGCTCAGGGTGTACCTGTGTGGCTAAGCTCAGAGTTGGTCTTCTGAATCCCATAGAGAGATGTGTAACTTCAGTAAGGATTTTTTTTTTCCTGTCAGTGAAAGATCCTCATGTGCTTAAGCTTAAATATGTGCTTTACATGGTGGTGGTTTCAGTGCCATGCTGGTGTGTCTTCAACAGTTATTCCCTGCTAACAAACTCCATCTTCAACAATGTGTGTAGGTGAAGTGGTGACTGAGCACAGGTCATTGAAGTAAGACGTGAATGACTATCCAGAGGGAAACCAAGTCTGGTTTGTGTGTGGAGACGACACAAAGGCTGCATCTCTGTGGTTAGATGATACAGTTATAAGGAGTCTTATCAAGCACTGGGGCACCTTCATTGCAAGCTCCAGGTGTAACTTCAGTCCAGGCTGTTACCATCCCTCTTCTGAGTGAGTGCATTTGAGCATCTTCAGCCATCCATGGAGATACTCCTCCAGCAAGATGTATGCAGATTGAGAGTATGAAGCAATTCTTTACTGGCTAACCCACATAAAAGATAGCTGAGATTTAACTAGCTACCAGGTTGAGCATTAGTACTTACCACCTCAGAGTGGGCATCTGAAGAGACTTTCCTGGCCAGACAGGCCCCAGTGATAGAGATTAGCCTCTGCACCTCCCTCAGTTGCGTTGTTATTGCCATCTTTCACCGGTAATGTCAACACCAGCACACAGATGACCCAGGTGTTGACCCCTACCCAATGACTGCCTACTAAACCTGCAGTTTTTCCTTTTGGATTTTATACCATTTCATGATGTTGTTTTCCCTCTTGAAATCTTGGGCTGCCAGTGATCCCCATCTCAACAATCCTCTCCCTCTGTCTACAGATTTACATTTCTTGCCTTTCTCTATATTTTCACATGGCTCTTTTGCATGGCTTTGCAGTGCCCTTGGCAGTCTGAGCTGCAGGGGTGCAGCTGGGCCACATCAGAGCTGGATTTGAAGATGCCCTTGGGGAGTAGAGAAGGGGGAGGGCTGCAAGGCTGGCTTGCCTGCTCCCAAACCCGGGGACAGTTCAGAGGCTGATGCAAGGCAAGGGTCACCAGTAGGCAGTTCAGACAAACCACCCTGTTTTGAGAATACACAAGTTTAATAGGATCTACTAGCAGCATTAGTTTAACTGGAGAAGACAGACTTTGTACACCAGTCAGGGCAGCAAACTTTGGTCACTGATGTGGGCACGTGGCAGCCACGTTCCCTAGTAGCTCCAGGACAATCACGCCTGCTGTTCGCAGTGGCTCCCAGAGCTAGTTCTGAGCCTACATAGGCTTCTTGAGTTACATCTGCAACAGTTTGGGTTGGTTTGATAGCAGGCTTTTGGGTGCTTACAACTTACCAGGAAGCAGTGAAATGCATCTTATATGAGGAAATACCAATGTGCTTTTTATCATGTTTAGCTTTTTCTATTGATTCCAGCTGGAGAAAGTGCAAATCTGAAGGAGCATGAATAAATGCAGAAGCTACACTGCATCACGGCAAACCTCCTGGGAAGATGCAAATTCAGCTTCTCTTCTAGCCCACTTCACTTATTTCTGTTTGCTTCAATTCCTTAGAGAAAGTCACAGACTGAATCCAAAACCTTCTTAGGATGGTGCTGATACAAGGACCCTGTGCCAGGGGAAAGCAGTCATTCCCCATGATCCAAAGGAAATTTGAATGCTGACATACAGCCTCTTTTCTTTCTCTGGGGGCTTGTCATGGATTTTTCTGGTCTGGGCTATTGCACAGGAAAGATTTCATTCAATTTTGTCAGGGTGACAACTAAAAGACTTACAGCTTTGGAGGTGCTGGTTCTGGACTGAGCAGTCTGTGCTGAAGCTCTTCTGCCCAGCACTGTGAAGAGGGTGCTTTGCAGTGCCAGTGACTGCTTGATCTTTTCGTGAGCACTGATAGAATTGCAAGGTAGAACAAAAAGAAGAGTTTCTGCTCTGTAACTGCTTGTCAGCTCCCATTTTCCTTGCCAAGAGTGTGCCAACAGTATAGTTTTAATTCAGATTTGGGGGAGGTGAAATCTCCCAGTGTTGCTGGTGGATCCATTGCAGTGCAGTTATGTACTTACCAGGACAGGACTGAGAACAGTTTAGTCATTTGCCATTAGTTCACTTCCAGATCGTAACCAGTTTGATCACAGCCTGATGAACAGCTAAGAGCAAGTCTTGCTATTCCCTGGTTGACAGCAGAGCTGGTGGACCCAGGAGATTCCATTCTTGCTGTGTACAGCAGGTAGACCTCCCAAGCATGTTTTACCCATCAGAAAGCTTGGACTGTGTATACACACTGTTTGATCCCCATTTCTGCCACTTCTTTGACTTCAGGCAGTGCCAAAAATAGCTTTCCTTTGGGGTTTTGGGGTACTCATGATTCCTGTCAGCAATGTTGATTCCTTGTAGTAACATTTCCTTTCCAGGGAAGGCCGCAGGACCAAGGGTGATTCACAACCAGGGTGTGACCAGTATTAAACAGAAGATCTGCCCTCTCTTCAGATTTCTAACCATGGCCTGTTCTGACAGCATGACTCACTGCTGTGACCGGCAACCGGCTGCAGTCTGTGGGCCAACCATAATTACGAGAGCTTGTCTAACTTGTGTTAGATTTGTCATTTATTTCCTGTGGGAGCCGCGGTAGTGGTAATCAGTGTTCCACCACCCTTCTTAAAATGAAGTACTGTGTATTAGAACAGAAGCATGACTTGTTTTAAGAGCTGATGCTCCTCTAAAACAGACTCTTGTGCTTAACAGCCTGGCCATGTTCACAGTAGATCTGTCTTCCCCCACCCCCGGCCAGAGATGCTTTGTGTTGTGCTCACCCCTGCTGCAGCAAGTGTCTGTTTAAATTTCTCCCTGCAGGCATGCAGTAGCAACCACACCGGTTTGATTTGTTAACTCCCAGTGTCAGCCAGACTAAGTCTGCAGGTTGTCAGGATCATCCGCATTGTGCTTCAGGTGTTACCTGGAGGTTATCACCTGGGAACCTGTTGAGTTGCTTCCCCATCAGGGCACACTGAGCTTGGTGATATGCATGTGTGTGTAGATCTCCTGCTCTCCCAGCCCAAGGCAGATTAGTAGGACCAGAGAACTTAGTCTGAGTGCGATGTGGGAGTTGCATATCACTGTCCAGATAGCATACAGTCACGCAACCAGAGACATACAGTTACTAGGTTTCTGGTGTTTTTAGAGGGTTGGACAGCTGTGCCACAAACACTGAACAAGACCCAAACCAGATTGATTCTTTTCGGGTGCTTTACTGCCTGTTCTCCCTTCTGTCTTCCCCTCCATCCTGTCTGGTAACTCCACTTTCCATCCCCAGTTTCTACCCACCACATTTCAGCTAAGTGCTGAGAGAGGACTGAGGACGGTCAGTCACCTGTTCTGTCCTGCTCCTGGCTCTTCTGTAAGCACCATGATGAAACTGGGAGGTATGTTAAAGATGCTCTCAGGGGGATCACCTGTGTTGCCACATCTGTAGCTTCCACAATTCCTTGGCCATAGGTGAGCCTGCCTGCAGTCTTCTAGTTTTCCTGTTCTTCAGCAATGTGATACAAAACATTTGCCTCTCTGAGAAGAGGCATGAAATGCAAGATACCAAGATAATACAGTCCCAGGCTCCAGCCCTAAATGTCCTTCATTAACAAGAGCTACCTTGAATTTCAGGTCAGGAAATTTGATTGTGCTGAGGACCCAGCGCAACTCATTTGCTAACCTGCTGTTTTATCCTCTTTAGGGAATTCCCAATGAAAGCTGGAGGTTGACCAAGATTAATGAGCGCTACGAGCTGTGTGATACATACCCTGCCATTCTAGCTGTGCCTGTAAACATTCCTGATGAAGAATTAAAGAGAGTAGCATCCTTCAGATCAAGAGGACGCCTGCCAGTGAGTGTGACAAAAGAAGCCACTTTGATGTGGTTCTGTTAGATATCTTTGGGCCATAAGTAATACCAAGATCAGGCTGAGTGGATTCCGGGGAGCAAATAAATGGTCAATGGATAATAAAAGTGACAGCAACATGTTTGAGGAGTTAGAAAGCAACATTATCTGCTGGAACTGCTGTTGTGAAAGAGATGTAGACTAAACTAAAATGAGAAGATAAGATAACTTAGCACAACCCAGACTGAATCTTAGTTGAGTTCCTGGGAAACACAAAGCAGCCCTGTTTGGTTGTTTACGATTGTCTGGCCTGCTCTGACTTTCAGGATAGAGAAATACTTAGTGATACTCTTGATTAAAATGCTTAGTAAATGAAATTAAAACACAACACATCATTACGATGATTATTTCAGCAGTAACTGAGAATGTACTGTTTTACTTCTCAAGTCTATAGAAAATTAAATCTGTTCCTAAAGTGTTTTACATGGTGTAATGGAGAGTAAGATATTACCCAATGACTGCAGAGCAAGAAAGTGTGTTTTATTGCTGTTGTGTGAGCCACAAACAGTCTGCATCATATTTAAAAGTAAGACTTAAACCTATTCAGTCACCTCTTGTTTGTTCAAACTTTGGGAATGACACCAGAATGAATGAGTAAGGACAGAAGTGTTCTTTCTTTCTATCAGTCATGATTTAATAGAATCCAGCCTTCTGGAACCAGCTAATACATGGCAAGATCCCAGAGCAAGCCATTACAGGTAAAACACTTCACTGGTTTAGTGACTCCCATTTTTCCTTCATTTTCTTCTCATTTGTTTTCAAAGGTATTGTCGTGGATTCACCCAGAAAGTCAAGCAACGATCACTCGCTGTAGCCAGCCAATGGTGGGAGTGAGTGGCAAGCGAAGCAAGGAAGATGAAAAGTACCTTCAAGCCATCATGGATTCTAATGCTCAGTCCCATAAAATATTCATATTTGATGCAAGGCCTAGTGTGAATGCTGTAGCTAATAAGGTCAGGTGCTTCTTCCTCTGTCTAAAGCTGGGAATGTAGTAATTTAGAGAACATTTCCCACCACCATTTCAAATTATTTCTGAGGATCACAAAGCATTTTCCACTGTGAATAGAATCATATGCAATGATCTGATTCTGTAGACATACTTTTACACCTGCACTGGTATCCACAAGATATCAGTGTGACTACTAAAGGTCCATTTGGATTAATCTACAATGGGAAATGAGATGGAGTGGGGGGGAATCAAAATAGCACTGAGGTTGAACTCTAGCAAACTCTAGATCTTGTGTATGACTATTTTTCACTTCACATAGTTGAAAGACTGCTTCCTCTCTGCCAGAACTCTGTCCCTGTTAACCCTGGTGGGAGCAGAGGATACTCAGAATGTCTGAATATCAGGCATCATGATCTTTAATTTCAAAATACAATTTAATTTCAAAATATAATATGGGGATCTTTAATGTCTAGGATTGTTGCTGTGTTCTTCCTGCTGTTACAGAATCATAGAATGGTTTGTGTTGGAAGGGACCTTTAAAGTTCATCTAGTCCAACACCCCTGCAATGAGCAGGGACATGTTCAACTCAATCAGGTTGCTCAGAGCCCCATCCAACCTGACCTTGAATGTTTCCAGAGAGGGTGCATCTACTACCTCTCTGGGCAACCTGTGCCAGTGTTTCACCACCCTCATTGTGGAAAATGTCTTCCTTATATCCAGCTTGAATCTACCCTCTTTAAATTTAAAACCATTACCCCTTGTCCTGTCGCAACAACCCTACTAAAAAGTCTGTCCCCATCTTTCTTACAAGCCCCCCTGAAGTACTGAAAGGCCATAGTAAGGTCTCCCTGGAGCCTTCTCTTCTCCAGGCTGAACAACCCCAACTCTGTCAGCCTGTCTTCATAGGAGAGCTGTTCCATTTCCTGGGCTGAAGACTCCAGAGCTGGACACAGTACGCCAGGTGGGATCATACCAGAGCAAAGGAGCAGAATCATCTCCCTCGACCTGCTGGCCACACTTCTTTTGATGCAGCCCAGGATACGGTTGGCTTTCTGGGCTTCATTGTCAGCTCATGTCCAGCTTTTCATCATCAGTATCTCCAAGTCCTTCTCTGCAGGGCTGCTCTCAGTCCCTTCATCCTCCAGCCTGTATTGATACTGGGGTTGCCTCAACCCAGATGTAGGACTTTGCACTTAGCCTTGTTGAAGATCATGAGGTTCACACAGGCCCAATTCTCGAGCTTGTCCTGGATGGCATCCTGTCCCCCAGGCATGTCAACTGCATGACTCAGCTTGGTGTCATCTGCAAACTTGCTGCAGGTGCACTTGATCCCACTGTCCATGTCATTAATGAAGATACTAAACAGTACTGGTCCCAATACAGAGTCACACTGGTCACACTGCTTGTGACCAGTCTCCATCTGGACATTGAGCTGTTGATCACTATCCTCTGGATGCATACATCCTACCAATTCCTGATCCACAAAGCAGTTCGCCTATCAAATCCATATTTCTCCCATTTAGAGAAGGATGTTGTGGGGTACCATGTCAAAGGCCTTACAGAAGTCCAGATAGACAACACTCATATCTCTTCCCGTGTCCACTGATGTAGTCACTCCATCACAGAAAGCCACTAGTTTGGTCAGGCAGGACTTGTCCTTGGTGAAGCCATGCTGGCTGTCTCAAATCACCTCTCTGTCCTCCATGTACCTTAGCATAGCTTCTAGGAGTATCTGTTCCATGATCTTCCCAGGCACAGAGGTGAGGCCGACAGGTTGGTCATTCCCAAGGTCCTCCTTTCTACCCTTTTAAAAATTATGTTTTCAAGCCATCACTCTAAGCTCTGTTTTAATGTTAAAATTGCTTTGTTGCACTAAAAGTGATTTTTTTTTTTCTTCTTTTTAAATCTGCCTTTCTCACTACTTAGGGAAGGCAATTAGTGTGTGGGATATTCTCCTCTGTAATAGTATGGTAAATTTGTAAATGACAGAATAGTGAATCTAATGAGCTAGTAGCTTGAATGGGAATAAATGATAATTACAGAGGAAAAGAAGGCTTGTAATGCAATATTCTTTGGTAAAAATGATAGCATTCATTAACTATTGCAGGAAAGAAACACAGAGTGCGTACATGCACATGTTTGTTCCTAATTGTAAGATAAATCAAATGTTTTCTGCCTGCTTTAGATAGCGTAATCACTGTGGTATTTTGTCAGCTGATATTCACTCAGGACAAACAATTGGGAAAAAGTATAAAATATGTTTTCTGCTTAATGATCTGTATGTGGATTTTGTTCTTCAGGCTAAAGGAGGGGGCTATGAGAGTGAGGATGCCTATCAGAATGCAGAATTAGTGTTCCTGGACATTCACAATATTCATGTTATGAGAGAGTCACTGAGAAAACTGAAAGAAATTGTGTATCCCAATATTGAGGAGACTCACTGGCTGTCTAATTTAGAGTCAACTCACTGGCTGGAGCATATTAAGGTATGCATGTCTGCATCCACTAGATGTGGCTGAGTAACCAACCACAAGTCCATACCAGTCTGTTCACTGGGAAATGTAGCTAACACCAGTGCTGGATTTTTCAATTCATGGGAACTGTAAAGACTTAGATTTTTTTTTTTTTTTTCAATTTATAAACAAATGAAACCACACTTTCACAGAATAGGGAATTTTGAGGTGTTGGGAAAAGGGACAAGAGAGGAGCTTGAAATACTGAAAGATGGTGTTTTGGAAGTGAAGTGTGTTCCTGGGTAATATGTGACTGTGAAAGCCCTGGTGAGTTTCCAATCTTTTGACTCGGGGATCCTTGACATCCTGACGTTACTGCCTGGTCCAGACCAGCAAGTGTTGGGAGTTCATGCCATCAGCCTTTCAGGAATCCAAGCAGAGTCAGAATGAGTGGGGCAAAATTCTTCAGATGTTGATTTTCAAATTAAGCTCTCTCTCCTAAAAATGCCCAGGTTACATTGTTGACTTGCTAACACAGATGGGGTAGATCTGCTCCTGGGGCAGTTGCAGGACGATGGCCATTTTGTGTTCATGTTACAGACGCAGAATGCTCTTGCACTTAATTCCTGAACTGTCCAAGGACTGAGTTTAATGCAAGGGCTTGTCTAGAGTTGTGCCTACACTACAATTTAGATGTATTGTCATCTTGCTGGAACAAAAAATGTGTTCACCAATTTGCTGTCCTAGTTATAAAGGAGTTGGAACTGATTTACCATTTTCTTTGCAGCAGACAGAGCCCTTGGTTTGTCCTGTGTTGTCAATAGACATTTTTCATTTATAGTTTCTGTTCCAAAGAGATTTTGTAACTTTTTTTTTTTTTTTTGGTCCTAGCTTATTCTTGCTGGAGCCCTTCGAATTGCTGACAAGGTGGAGTCGGGGAAGACATCTGTGGTGGTACACTGCAGTGATGGCTGGGACCGGACAGCCCAGCTCACCTCTCTCTCTCTGCTCATGTTAGATGGCTACTACCGAACTATCAGGGGCTTTGAAGTGCTAGTGGAGAAGGAGTGGCTGAGCTTTGGCCACAGATTTCAGTTGGTGAGTCACTAGCCCTTGGAAGGCATTGAACAGAAAGTTATTGCCCACCTTGAAGGATTTCAAAGGAGTTTAGCCTTTCCTGTGAGAAGTCTCCCTGCTGAACTTGCAGAAGAAAGGTGAATGCTGCTGCTATTGTTTTCTGCTATAATTCCAGTCATCTCTTAACCTCCATGGAGACAGTATTGGTCAGATACAAGGAACAGGTGGTATTAAATCTCTCAGGTGTCTGACTGATAGATTGTCTTCCCATGCTTAGGCTTAAACTAACAGTGTGCTTTGGGTTCAGGACAGGCATTTCTGCTGGGAGTTGGCAGAGACCACTGGGGTATTTTTTTGTCTTTCTTTCCAGTTCAGTCCATTTTCTGAGACTGCTTGGACACCGTCATCTAACAAATGCCTTGGTATTGAAGAGGCTGGAGAATTTGGTTATGGCCTTGACCTCACATTTTCTTCAGGTGCATTTTATTTTTGGGGAGGCTTTTAATTGTTTAGGTAAAAGATCAGCCATTTGAGATTGGACCAAGAGTAGCTCGTGGTTGTGTTCCTAGAGTTGGCAGAGAGGCAGCTTTGTGGACTCGTAACACAGCAGTTTGTTACCATTTGCACTGATGGGAGTTGAGAGAGCCTTTTGGTAGTTCCTGTTGTGTTTTGCTCACAGATGTTCTCTTGCAGTTGTTGAATTTTGGCAAGGGCTAGAACAGGGTCTGTTCACAGCATGTGTGATGGTGCATAGTCAAATGCTCTGAGGAAGGTGGGGAAACTGAGTCACCAAGCAACTGAGGTTCTGCTGCAGCAAAACTGTTATCTGGTGTTTGAACGATGAGTATTTTAGCTTCCCTGTCTATACAAATAAGATAATGATACTGATTTCCTATGGTGAGGGGACAACAGTATTACAGAAAAGGAAGGGATCTCTGTTACTTACATGTTCTTGTTCTGTCTGTATGGTACTTAGGTCTCCTGGGTAATACATAACCACTAACATACTATACTAATTACAAGGAATCAGGCCTTGCCTGTCTTGGCCACACAGCATGGTCAGGGTTGGAGGCCTACTTCTGGGGATACTTTCATCACTGCCTCTCTTGAGGTGGCAGGAGATGGGCTGGGTTAGTGTTTGTACAGCACTTGGAAGCTGTGAGGTGTTGTGTGATGGTTATCACCACATGCTGTGCTTGTAGGTAGTGTTTAGATCTAGCACACTGTACTACTGAAGTAGCCAGGACAACAGCTGCAACTGAAGCAAAAAGCATTCTCATTTTTTTTTCCTTCTGAACTTTAGCTATTAACTGGAGTCAGTGCCAGCATAGCATCTGGAGCCTCTACTCAAACAACTCTTGTTTTAATTTAGCATGAAAATATCCCCATAAAGAAATTTCACTTCAAAGACAAAGGGAGTAGCTGTTCTATACTCCTTTACTCACTGATAGGGACAAAGCAAAATCAAGATGCATTGGAACCTTCTTAAAGCTGTTGATAAAGGCTTGGGTGACTGAGGGGAGACCTCAGCAGTTTCCCCACGAAGCCCTGTGCGACTCATGTTCTTTGTCCTGCTCTGTTTCAGAGAGTTGGCCATGGAGATAAGAATCACGCAGATGCGGATCGCTCTCCTGTCTTCCTCCAGTTCATCGACTGTGTCTGGCAAATGACAAGACAGGTAAATTTCTGGGTGGCACACATGTCTGCAGAGCCAGTGTGCCAGGATGTGGCACAGTGTCTGGCCACAGGAATAATTTCCAAGCTGACCTGCACAGGCTCTCTTTCCTGGGTTCCTACTCTTGTTTTCACTCTGGCAACAATTTTCCTGGGAGTCTGTTTAGCAAAGACCCTGAATGCACGAGTGCCCAGGAAGGACGTGATGTTGGCTTGCGTCAGATTAGCTAGTTAGTAGATGCTTCTTACCTATGTGCTGCTATAATAGATGTGAGCTTGTGAGAAGCAGCTTGCCTCATCCTGAAAGAGGGGACAGCTGCCTCACTTTTACCGTGGGCAGGAACAGACAGCCCAGCCATCCTCAGTAGCTCGCTGTTCTGTCAGAAGCATAAGTGACTTGAGCTGCTAATGTAAGTCTCTAGCATGGTGGGTGCAGGCAGATCCCTGTTGCCTTTACTCAAGATGATCCTGTGACCAAACCTGCAGCAAGACATGCATTTGCTCTGTTTTAACTTCTTCTGAAGCCAAATACATTGCTCCTGATTCATACACAATGTACAGAGCTGAGTTCCTTACTTGAGACCAGGCATGGCAGAGGTACATTTCAGGAGAGATTCCCTATGCTTGGGAAGTTTTTTTACCAGGTATTTGGAACCTGGAAGGTTTTTTTGTTTCTGTTGTGATGCCAAATGTGTCACATGGCAAATGTCAGCCATGGACAGGCAGTTCACTGAAAAAATTAGGCTCATTATGGATTAAACAGGTGAAATGGAAAAGAAGGATATCACTATTTATGAAGCTGTACCAGATCCAAGCAGAGAAAGAGGGAGGCTTACATCGTGCTCTCCTTGGATTCTCTTGACAGGCAACATCCTGACCTGCAGCTGGTGAAGTCAGGATGTTGCAGCCAGGGAAAAGAAGTGGTTTGTGAGGGAGGAACGCTTCCCACTCTCCTCTCCATCACCTCAGCATGTCTTTGCAGTTCACTGCATGTATTCTTACTGACCCTTTGTGGAGCATCAGTTCTCCCTGTCTTGGGTGTGATTGTTTCTGCATGGAACAGCAACAGCAAACACAGCCCCTGCCCAGACACCTGTTCCTCCTGCTGACCTGTGTTTCAGGATGCCTCCCTGCTGTTCCCTTTGGGAAGTGCTGTGTTACATACACAAGTTATTTCTATTTGGCCCCAGGAAACTTTCATCTCTTTTCATGCATTATTTCACATGTGCTTCAGCCTTTTGTTCACAATCTCGTTGTATGATCTGTCATGAGGGGCAGGCAGAGCAAGCTTCAACTTGAAACAGCACAGAGTGTGTATAAACACAGCAATCAAACCTTTCAGACCTCTGGCTTTTGCTCAAAATTCCTTTCTGCACATGTGAAGCAGCTTTCCAAGAAAGCAACTCTTGCTTCTGGAAGGAGCAAATATGATCCTGAATGTCCAGCTAGGCAGGGAACAGGTTTAGAAATCAAGAAGAGTGACCAACTCCTTACCAAGATCACAAAGTGGGAGAAAGTTTATTTGCAGTTCCTTTCTAAAATCTCAGCCTAATTACCTGGTTCTGTCTGAAGTTTCCTACAGCATTTGAGTTCAATGAGTACTTCCTGATAACCATCCTGGATCACCTGTACAGCTGTTTGTTTGGGACCTTCCTGTGCAGCAGTGAGCAGCAGAGAGTGAAGGAGGTAAGACATCTCTACAAAGTGAAGGCCTGTGATTGCTTTGGCTGGCCAAATATTGCTAGAGAAATGTTTCAGCACTCAAAAATAGTGGTAGATGCAGGTGCGGGTAATGCCAAGGATCCTTCTTAACAACTGGGACATGGGGTATTTTCCTCTGTGCAAACTGGTGTCTGTTGGAGACTTTACATTTCAGAGCAATGCCGTGTCCCTCTGGACAGCCCCACTGCTTTCAGCATGGCTTTCAGCTGCTGAATTCAGGTGGCTGAATAGCTCCTGGTGTCCCCTAGGTCGTTGGAAATGCAGTATTTCTTTGAACTTCAGTTTAATGTAACCTTCTCTGTCAAAAGTGGTACATTTCTGTCCTCCCCTTTCCTTGAAGTGGTCCCTTTAGGTTTCTTTTAATTACCAGGTGTGCGTTGTCATTCTGCACACATAGCATTCATCAAGTAACTGGTCTCAACTTGTGTTCTTGCTGTGCTTGAATTTTTCTGGGAGAGGACAGAGCTGCTAGCATTAGGAAGGACATGCCTCTAGGTCCTGCCACCAGCCAGCTTTGCCCTGCAGTCTTGTCGAGGTTTGTTTGCCAAGGAAGGATCATATAGACATGTACATTCAGACCCAGTCTGGACTCAGAGGGAAAAGCAGTGGCATTCACCTATCTGAAGAAGCATTTCGTCACCAAAAGGTTGCAGCCTAACATCAGAGAGGTACATTGAGGACAGTGCTGTGTGGACCTTATGCGATTGTATTTGGTAGCGCATCAGGTAAAAAATAAAAATTAAAAAAACTGTAGTACAGAAGTGATAGCATTGCGCTGTAATGAAATCAGGGTCTCTGTTTCTCTAGAGTCCACAGTGACTGAATAATTGTAATTTCCAGAGAAGAAAAAAACTGTGTGCTGTTTGCACGTGCATTTTGGGGATTTTTTAAAGGCCTCAGCCTAGCGAAGTACTTAATCTAGAAAGCACTTCAACACTGGTTTCACTGGGACTATTCACAGCCCTAATTATTCCACTAGATCAGGACCTAAGTCAAATGTTTTCTTTTTTTCTTTGCAATTAAATACTCCAGCAAGTCCTCCAGGAGCACTTTAAAGAGTGAAGTTTAACTAAAACATTGAGAGTTCACATGCCAGTGTCCTCTTGCTGTGTCGATGGCAGTTGGCAGCTGGGTGGGTAAGAGGGGATGCGTGTGCCTGCCTGCATCCACGTGCTTCAGTTACAGTAACCACATCAAAAGAATGTTGTGGGTTTTTTTTGTTTAAGCTACAAAAATCCAACCATCTCTGTATTAATGACATGTATATGTATGTGCTGTTATACTTTGTGGATAAATGCAGGGATTTGTACGAAAAATAAAGCCGCCTTCACCCGCTTCTTTTACAGAGCCTTCCAAAAAAGACGGTGTCACTTTGGTCTTACATCAACAGCCAACTGGAAGACTTTACTAACCCCTTGTACGTGAGCTACTCCAACCACGTCCTGTATCCCGTGGCCAGCATGCGCCACCTCGAGCTCTGGGTCGGCTACTACATCCGCTGGAACCCCAGGATGAAACCGCAGGTATGTCTCCTCCAAGGATCCTTTTATTTCCCTCTCTGCTAGTACTAATACTGTCAATTTGGAGTTCAAGACCTTTGAAGCACAAGAAGTAATGTACAAACTTAAGCTTCCATTGCTTAAATCGTAACAAAACAAAACAACCTACATTCAGATGGAAGCAAATGAAAGAGCACCTGCAGCTGGCTGGTGCAGGTGCTCAGCTGGAGGTTGCTGCCTTGTGAAATCTGCAGAGCTGAAGATTCTCGGCAATGTGGAACATTTCTCACTTAGAATAGGGGGAGAATCATTTGAATTCTCTCTTCCTTTACAAAAGAGCCTAAAAACCTAAGACTTTTTTGGATGTGGGATTCTAGATCAGAGCTTTGGGTGGGGCTGTATTTAGGTGACTAGCTTGCTTGGGCTACCTGAGGCACAGGGGTCTGACTGCAACTCTGTACACTCCCTGAACCCTGCCAGCAGGAAAGTGGTTTGCCCAGGGCAGACACCTGAGACAAGCAGTCTGAACATGGCCCTAAATGCTGAAATCACTTTTTAATAGGAAGGGACAAAGGGACACTGGCCTCAGTGTCCAACTGCAGTTAACAGGGCCATTAGATACAGGAACCTATCAAATGCTTTGCAGTACTAACTGTTCAACAGTCAGAATTATGTGAAAATATTTAGGTAAATCTGCATTTTTTTCCCCAAAGCCCTGAAATTATGGCCAAGCTCAGATGTCAAGGATAGTGTCCCCCAGAAACATCAGAGATTAGAGTTTTGTAATTGTCATCTTTAAAAATATACACAAAATTTTGTTTAGTTACTATTGCAGTATGCATGTCGGATAAAAATGAATCTCCCAGAGCAACTACTCACTCAGCCCTGGGCTGGAGACACTGACATTACCTACCTACACCCCTCCTTCCTCATAGCTGCGTGCCAGGTCAGCGACATTTTGTGGTTCAGGCTTCCACTTCCATGCTTGCCTCCCAGCACTCAGCTACACATTTTCTTGCAGGAACCTGTCCACAATCGCTACAAGGAGCTTCTTGCCAAGCGGGCTGAGCTGCAGAAGAAAGTGGAGGAACTGCAGAGAGAAATCACCAACCGTTCCACCTCATCCTCGGAGAGAGCTGGCTCTCCCGCACAGTGTGTTGCTCCTGTACAGACAGTCGTATAATATGAACTTTTTTTGTCGAGTACCTTCCCAGGACCATGGGGGCAGCTTTTCTGAAACCCACTGGATTCCCAGCGTGGTGTCTGGGAGATGCCAACCTATTTATTTATTTCTCTCCAGGGTAATTTATTAGTACCATAGCACTAGAGGAAGATTAAGCAAAACCACACAAACAAGGCCCCCTATGCAATTAACCTTCTCAGTGGCTAGATTGTAATACAAGCTAATTGCACTTGCCACCTGAAAGAAACCTAGAGCTCCTTCTTTGTTCATTTACGTGCTAGAAATCACTTGGCTTTATAAAGAGAGACTGTGCACCAGAATGAAGTACTGTGGAGGAAAAACATCTGCCCAGAAGTTTGAAAATCTCCCCTTTTCTAAAAGGAAATATCAAACCTGACTTTATACGGGGGCCTAGAATAGCTGTAAACCCTCTGCTATTAATGTCTGCATAGCAGTGTTAATGAGAGCATTTGCCAACACGTAGAGACAACCAGCGATAGCACCTGAAACATATCACCATTGTTCTCACTTTGCCCTTCACTTCGATGTGGACCGTAGGAAGCCATGTAAATGATGCCTTATTTAAAGAAAGGGCAGCTCCTACCAATAACACACGGTGGTAGAGGAACAACCTACATGACTTTGTAGGCCAAAGTTTACTTCCGTCTCTGCAACTTTAGAGTCTCGCTTATGGTTTACATTGGGTGTGCCAGGATGCAACTGAAGCACCTTTATGAGGGGGGAGCAGAGCAGAGCATGGCTCCCCTGGGCTCTCTGCAGCTCCGCTGTCCTCCAGTGCCTCATACTCATCAGGGGAAGGTAGGGGAATACCAAGGGGCACCTGCAAGCTGCTGGAATCAGTCGTTTCGTTTTGCTTGGGTAAGCATAATTAGCGATTTTAATGCTTCTGTGCAGGATCATAGTGGCTTATTTAAGGTATTTCATTTTTCTGTTAACTAAGGGAAGCAACTGTGTATCAACCAAAGAAGCCTTTCTGCCTGCATTGCAACTGCTACAAAGTTATTCTGGTGGACTAAACAGCTTAGCCATTTCTGAGCCCTATGTATAGTCTTTTTCCTCATAGCATACTTCCATTGAAATACAGAATTTTACTGTAGAAGTGGAGATAAAAAACACACTCGGTAGAACCATGACTGCCCATTGCTCTTCCAGACAGACAAGTACCAGGTTGCAGAAGATAGACAGGGCTTACAGTGAAGGAAGCCATGGATGTGCAGGGATCTGTACTCCAGGCTGCTTCTCGTCTCCATGCTAAGGGTGGGGGGCACTGCTTGGTCTGGGTTCCTGTGCTGCATTTATGGTAGGATCCCCTACTGTGGTCACCTCTTTAATACACCCATCAGCACGTTGCTTCGCTCAGCCTCTCTCCCCACAAGAGAGAAGTGTTCTCTGAGAGACTACACATAAGTTGCCTTTCAAAAGCCACGTTCCTTCCAAGGCAGCAACAATAATTTCCCTCTGCAGTCTCCATTTCTGCCCGCTCTACTGCAGTCAGGGTCTCAGTACTTACAGAGAGATCCACAGCCACCTTCTGACAGAAGGGGTAAGAGGCTCTATAGCATCACTGCATTTGGTATAGGGTGGCCTGACATGTTATGGGTCAATAGTGCGAAGAATCCACACAAAAAGACCTTCTGAAGGACTTGGACTTGCTTTAAGGTTAAAGGGCAGATCTGCTCTTACGTACAATCACTATGTAAGATGGTTCATAGCATTATTCTATATTAGCAAATTGACTATGTGTGTATATTTTGTTTCTTGATGAAGGCTGTTTGGTATCCTTAACACTAATAAAAATTGATAAATGGGTAAAGCTCCTGTGCTCTTATTTTCAACTATGTGGTTCTCCAAAGAATTTGTAGGACATGCAAACGTTAATAAAATAGCACTGAAAATTTAGTGTATCAAATCAAAATCTCTCTCATTCTTTTGCAGCTGGTCTTGCAAGATGCTAATGTTCAAACATTGAAATTTGGAATGACAGAAATGACAGGAAAACAAAATTCATCATCATCTTATCCTATACAGACCAGTATGAATACAGATACAGTGCTTAGCTGCTCAATATTACAAAAATACTTTCACAACAAAAATTCAAACAAATTCTGCACTTTGTAGTGCATTAGCACAGTAACTTCTGTGTAAAAGGAGGATTCACATTTTTCTAACTCACTTTAAGCCCAAATTCACTGTGATGATTTGGGATCAACTCTGTGCTTGCTCCTTGATGCTCTCACCCCTGGAGGGCTTAAGTCCAACTTGGGCACCTCATTTACCATAATGAGGTGCCTAAACCACTCCAAAGCCCTCCACCGGTAAGGTGTGCATGAGGACACCCAGAGGTAACGCTGACATTAACCCATCTTCAAGCAAGCCCATCCCCAGAGGTCCTTCCTGAGCAAAATGACCACGTGTAGTTTCAGCTACTGATTTTCCAGAACCTCCAGGATGAACCGCTCCCCAAGGGGTTACTCGAGCTACCTGGAACCCCTATCTAACATAAATGGAGTCAAGGGGGGGTATGGCTCCAGGCCTGGTTAACAGCTTCTGATGCCTCGCAGAGCTAAAACATCCTGTGCCTCAGATGGCAGGAGGCAGGCAAGTTGGAGCACCTACAGGCAATGAAAACTCAAGTCCCTTCTGCCTGTGTCGACCCTACAGAATTCCCTGCCTGTTCAGCTACAGGCAAGGTGGACAACTCCAGCTCCCGCCTCCCTGGAGCCTGCTCACAGCTCACACTCATCACCCTGACCAGGGAGCTGTCCCGTCACCACACTGGACAGGGCACAGTGCTGCAGCAAACACCAAGTCAGCTTAGAGGAAGTGCAGGTTTCCCGCAAATCATTCAACAGGCAAGCTGGCTTTATTATTTTTCAACTGTATAAATGGGTCATCTGGGTCTTCTATATATTCCATTAATAGGAAATTCTTTACATTATTAACATAATAAATAACATTTACTCAGCTGTGCAAGTGAGAGTGCAAAATGAATTGCACCACTACCAAAGTAGATAGCTCATCAAAGCACATTTCAAGTTAAAAGCAAGATGCCAGGACTGAATGGCATGATTGAGGCACTTGCAGTTTAAAACATTTGTGGTTTATTTCACTGCTTTACCACCCAAAGCTATGAACTACGAGACAGGATATTATCCCCTATCCTATAGCTCTTTCATAAAGTAGGATTTCTGTAGAAAAATTTCATTCTTCAGACTTGAAAAAGAATTCAATCATTAAGCAAAATAATTTGGAAAAGTTATTTTGCTCCTTTGAGTACTCAAACATCCACTGCCATTAATACTGACTAATGCAATGTAGCAGAACAAGAATTAGGAAAGCTTTTTGAGAGCTCCATAGAACGCTTTTACAAGGGTGTACCTGTTCTCAGACACTCTCGAGAGTTTGAGTAATTGCAGCCGCACACAGAAGAGAACTGACAAAAGCCCTTAAGACTTGGGGATGCAGCATCATTTTCAGACAGGATGCATCTTGAGAAGCCTCCCAACGCCCAGTTCAACAACAGCATGAAATTGCGCTGACATTTCACACACACCAACCCCCACAAACGTGCAGTGCTTGGTGTGCTGAAGGGAAATGGTGGGACTGCTGGAACTGTAACACAAAAGGAACTGGTGAAGGCCTGTGGTTAGATTCAGCAGCCGGGTACCTTTAAAAATGGAATGTGTTTTAAGCTAGACCATAATATATACAATCAAACCCAGGGATGGAGAATTAAGGGCCCATATTTCAAAAGTGCACTTAGCATACAGTAGTCTCTTTCACACAGCAAGAAAGGCAGCTGCTTTATATCCAGAATGTGAGAAAGTGATTGGGGTGGTTCAAGAACATCTCCTGCAGAAAAGTCAGTAGTCCCAGCTGACATCATCTTTCTGTAGTGAAGTCTGTATGGTCTGCATGTCTCTCAACAACTGAAGGTTTTTCCGACTCTTCTCTCCAGGTTTCACTTTGATGGGACCAACATTCTTTCCTTTTGTGGTTACAGTAGTTGTCACTTTCACCTCACTAACAGGGAACCTGCTGTCTTTTACTTGTTTAGCAGAAGTCTTTCTGGACTTGCATTCTCTCTTAAGTCTCTCTAGCTGAAACAGAAGTCCAAAGAAAAACATTAAGCAGTGACCTTGTTTCAGTTTATGTTGGGCAATTCTTCCAAACAGCTGAAATATCCCACCACTTATCTCACCCAGCTAAGCAAACAGATACTTCCAATTCACCCTGAATAATAAATATTTTATTTTCCTTACGCAGCATTGCTATATTCGCATCTTTAGAACTATGTTCACCTTAGTCTACTGACTACTACTGACCAGTTCATTATGGGGGAACATCTCCATTATTAATGTAATAGAAAAAGGTACATGTGACAAAAAGATGATTTGTTACTGTTACCATCCAGGGACTAAAAAAAACCAGAAAACAAATTTTTCTACATAGATACAGTGATTTTAATAGCTAGTCACTGTCAGAGATGTAGCTTTAAACAGAATACCAGAACTGTGCTGAGGTGGAGAGCTGGTAGCTACACACAGCCACTATAAATCACAGCTTGTAAGACTCAGTAGTCAGCAACAAAGACTGAGTGTGCATAAGCCTGGATAAGGAACTGGACAGTCTAAGGTGCAGACACATTCATACTCTTGAACCACAGAATGACTGTCATTTATAGTTCCCCTCTCTTCAGGTAGCAGTGCTCTCTCCTCCTAGTTTATAGCATGCAGCAACTTTCCTAAATCCCAACTCCTCAAACTTTTGCCAACAGCTAGTCAGAAGCCTCAGTATAGGCAGAATTGTTACTACTGGGAACTACTACACATCTGTTTCTCTGCAACATTTACTCTGAAGATCACGAGAGATCACAAGTTGAGTAATGCTTCTAACCTAAAATGTTTCATATGTCCATTCTGGATGTCAGCAGCACTGCCCTCAGTACATACTTTGCATATAAATTATGTCAGGTGAGGTTGAATCTTGGTTCATATGAAATGAACCAGATTAAATACATGGGATTAAGCTCTTTGGAAGAAATCCAATAGATTGAATGAACATCAGAGAAAATAAGGGATCAACAGGGTTTATAGTTTTGAATGAACAGGCTACACTACTCAAAACATTTTGAAAGCTGTTTTAAACTGCAAATCAAAACATAGATAGGTTGTTTACTTCAAGCAAGGACTGTTAAAAGATTCAGGGAATGAGAGGAGTGTAAAATGCAATGCAAGAGAAGAATCACAGAGTGGTTGGGGTTGGAAGGAACCTTAAAGACCATCTAGTTCCAACCCCGCTGCCATGGGCAGGGACACCTTCCACTAGACCACGGACCTGAACACTGCCAGGCAGGGGGCAGCTACAACTTCCCTGGGCAACCTGTGCCAGTGTCTCACCACCCTCACAGGAAAGAATTTCTTCCTTATAGCTAATCTAGATCTACCCTCTGCCTGTTTAAAACCATTACCCCTTCTTCCATCACTACACAACCTTGTAAAAAGTCCCTCCTCATCTTTCCTATAGGCTGCCTTTAGGCACTAGAAGGCTGCTGTAAGGTCTCCCTGGAGCCTTCTCTTTTCCATACTGAACAACCCCAACTCTCTCAGCCTGTCCTCACAGCAGAGGTGCTACAGCCCCCTCATGATCCTCATCACCCTTGTCTGGACCTGTTCAAGCAGGTCCATGCCTTTTTTATGCTGGGGGTCCCAGAGCTGGACACAGCACTGCAGGTGGGGTCTCACCAGAGCAGAGGAGAGGGGGAGAATCCCCCCCCTCGCCCTGCTGGCCACACTTCCCTTGATGCAGCCCAGGACACAGTTGGCTTTCTGGGCTGTGAGCACACATTGCTGGCTCAGCTTTCCGTCCACCAGCACCCCCAAGTCCTTCTCCACAGGGCTGCTTTCCATGCACTCATTACCCAGCCTGTATTTGTGCTTAGGATTGCCCCAACCCATGTGCAAAGATGTGAAAGCTCTGCCCAGAACAGGATGAAGAATGGGCACAAGGGTGAATGATAAGACAGAAAGGATACTTCTGCAGAAATACTGGCATGGAAAGATGGAGGTATGCAGAACAACTTTGGGACATCAAACCTAGAGCTAGGCCCTACTTCTCTACAGCAGTAATTGCTGCTTTATTCAAGTGCTGTTAATTAGGATATAACATTAAAAATAAAATTTAAACACAGAACCATGAATATAGTGAAAAAGTAGCTCACCTGCAGCCGATGTCTGCGAACTTTGCTGATCTGGTCTGCCTTTGCTTCCATCTTTCCCACCAGTGCTTCAAGTTCCCTCTCCAGATCTTCCCTCACTGCAGTGGTTGGAGCTTCCTGGACAAGCTTTGACAGCTGCTGGTGATCACTATCATGGAATTAAGACAGAACAAAGTATGCATCAGACTCCTTTGGCTTCTAGTGCTTGTACACTCCGTTCAGAAGTAGCACTTCTAGTAAACCATAGCATCAGCAGCCAGACATGTTCAACATTGCCATAACAAACCAGTAAGAACAGTTTTTGTGGTTAGCAGAATTATTACAGTGGCATATCCTGGTGGCAGACTGCTGCAGTGTTAAGTCTCAATAACATAAGTAGCTTCAGACTTCAAATCACACATTCAAAATGGCCAAATAGCCCCTTGAGGGCATGATCTCAGCACTCATTCAGTTACTGGTTTGCATATCTGTATCTACTGCAGTTGTGCAGTAGGATAACAATTAATGTTCTGTAAACCAGGTCAAGCAAAATGCCTAGTAAAGCTGTTCTTTAATGGAGTGTTTGTCCACTGCATCAGGGGTTATTACCACACTTCTTCCTTACCCCTTATGAATTCAATACTGCAGCACATAAGCACAGATATGAAGTCTGGACTGTTTTAACTGCAATGAGAAATGACAGCCTCCCCAGCCAGCAGAACAAAGAATACATGCTAAAGACTTACTAATACTAACTCTTTTGTCAGGCAAAAACTTCTAACTTTAAAGCAAAAGGCAAAAATATAAAGCATCTACATTTATGATCTGCAGTGCAGAAGAGGACAAACTCACAAACTCATCTGTCCAAATTCATCCTGTAAAGTCAGTAACACTTCTGAGAGCTCTTCCTGGGATGAAGAAGAATCCTTTGGAAGAGATGACTTTCTGCTTTTGCTGGCAGGATGACTGGTACTGATGGGTTTTGCTAGTGGAATATCGTTTACCACACGACTGTTACACAAAGCTTTTGTGTGTTGTTTCATCAGGTGCAGGACATGTTGCACGTTGGCACCAACTGAATGACTGGGACTGGTAGACTGGAAGGAAAAGCAAGCGAGACTTCTTTTAAATGGTATTGTCAACAACCTACTTGATAATAATGGAGAACATTAAAAAAAAGTAACATTTCTGATTTGCTGCCAAGAACATATTTTTTGTTTGAATGAATATGCATGAACTAGAACAGCTTGACAAGCAGTACAGAGAGGACCCATTTTAGGAAACGCCCATTCAGCATGTTACCAACACTGAACAAGCCTTTTCAAGACAAACTGCAAGGAGTCAAAGAAAATTAAATGATCTGACCACTGGGTGTCAGGAGTGCACCAAGCCAAAGCCACTTAAGGAGCTGCAGCTATTGAGCATTAAGCTTTGAAATTAAGCAGCTCACCTTCCCAGCTACAAAGGGTACATCACCCAGACACAGTCTGTAATGGGGCTGCGTAGTGAGATGGCTTGTAGAACATTTCTGGAAAGAAAGAAAAATAGAGAAACGTTTATTAAAGATAACACCAGAGCAAACCCATTTTCCCTTTGCTTTGTAAAAAAAGAGGCAACCTACTTCCTGACTGCATGCACACACCCTTATTTAACTCTTTAGTAATTGCCCTTGTCTTCCCCCCATATTACCTTCTCTGGCTGCTTAGTTTTTTTCCTGGGTTTTATTGCTTTTGGAGAAAGCAACGGTGATGCTGCTTGAATCAGTAGTCTGTTGGTTTCCAGGCCTGTCTGAAGCTTTAATTGAAGGAATAAGGGGAGTTACTGTAATTATATTTATAAATAATTAGAGACAGAGTAAGCTGAGAGTTGCAAAACAAGAATTTTTAAGATACAGGCTCTCTGAAAGCAAGGGCTGCGAGTTTTTAGGATGCTTCTGACTACGTCCAAGGCCAATTTAAACATTAAGTAAGAATACTTCCTCTGGTAGCACTACTCATCACTAATGCTAGTAAATTAGAGAATTAGTCTTACTGCATTACTCCCCTGCAGGCAAGTGCCAAAACATCAGCTGTGCTTTACACTCGACAAAGTATTATGCAAGTCTAGCCAACCAACCCTGCTCAATTGATCCTGTGGCATACAGTTAACAGACAACTATTGCTTCTGTTCTATTAAATCTGACAGTAAAAAAAAAACCAAACTAAACAGCCTATTAGAAATGTTAAGGTAAAGATTCACACTGTCAGGAGTGAGATCTGTACACTTCACTGATCCTTCCAAGAGGAAGCTATGACAAGACTTTAGAAATCATCTCCTAATCATTCACAGAACAATTATTCATGATTGATTTGAGACACCCCTCCCCCTCTCCCCCCCCCCGCCCCCAAACTCATGGCAAAGGTTAATGCTAGAGCCTAACACCTTACCTACATACTTTTTCAGCATACAATAAACATAATGAGCACAACACTTCAAGGTTAGAAGACCAGTGTCCAAGGGAGCACACTTGTTGACCTTGATCTATTTCAAGCAGAGATTTTCATACATCCTCCTCAACTATGAACTAGTCTGAATTTCCACTCCTCTTTTCCAATTAGCTCCTTTTATTGAGGAAATCAAGCTTCAGTGAACAGGTGCTGTTAGGCTTCCAAAAAGCTCAGAGAACTTCAGAACATTTGACACTTCAGACAGGAGGGAGGAAAAAAAAAAACCCAAAACAAAACAAACTGAACCAAGTTTTTCATTATTCTGTATATGGGAGACACTTTCATCAAGTTTAGTTGAAAAGCTGATGGAAAGGAAAAGCTAATTAGTGCATACCAGTACAAAAGAAATTTCCCGTTGGTTACCTCAGCTGCTTTTTCCTGAACAAGCTTCCTTGCATGTTCTTCCTCCTGAAGCTTATGTTCCAGCTCTTTCATTTTTTTCTAGTCAAAGTTGAATAAAAATAACAACATCACTAATGAAACAATTCTTTTCTTCCTGAAGCCTACAGTACTAAGAGCTTGAGCAAAAGTGTATCAGTTCAACTTCTGACTTAAAGCCAAGTGAAGACTTCAGCATTAGAATGATGGCTGACGTTTTGTCTGTATAGGCATAAACACAGCAGACAAGTGCTAATGCTTAAGACTTACTTGATTCTTCTATCTTTACTTCTGCAACTGGTACCTGAATTTAACTTACAGCCTACATGGAGAGCAATACACATGGCTCTTTCTCTTTCGTTGTCAAAAACCCCTAGAGAGTAGGTTGTTTTGTGTACATTATCCTCAAAGCTTTTGTACTACAAAAGGATCAGCAAAGGTAGATCATGTATCATTATAAGCTGAGGGAAGACTTGCTTTATTCAGACCACTATTTTTGCCAATATCTGTAACTTAAACTCTTAGAAGAGAGGAATTTTTTAACATCTAGCCACCTTCTTAATAAAGGAGAGGGAGGAAAGTTTTTATGATGCCTCTGAGATCTTTAAGCAAAACTGAAGTGCTTTGATCTTTTTCCAGTTGTAAGCATGTAAGAACTCTAATGAAAGCCCTTCTCAAGGAAAAGAGTTAAGGGGAAAGGCATACATTTCTTTGTAAACCCTGTGACAAGATGAAAACTTTAAGTAGGATACACTTACTTAAACTCCCAGTGTGAAAGTTACCAAATAGCTTTCTGAATTTATTCAGTAGAGTGAAAAAACAATCCAGAGCTCCACAACACAAAACAACTTCCCAAAGACTGATTATTTACAGAGCCACTAATCAAACTTAAGTCAGGAAAGCATGGAAATCAAAGTAACACCTATATTTGTACACTTGTTTGTTTATAAACCCACTATGCTGAAGTTAGTAAATATTTCAGTTCTGCTTTACTTCACCATCAACTGCAAGATTTGTGTAACCAGCTGTTATACAAAGGTGTTACAGGCAAAATCCTGGATAAACACTGAAGACAAAGGCATATAAAGGAAACAACTTTTTCTGTTGAATAAAAGAACCCTCTTGACTAAATTTTATTTTCTTCATTAAAAACAGATATATCCCAGGTAACTTAAAATCATCTTCTGCCCTTTACAGCTTGTGGCACTATTCTTGATTTCAGTGGTCAGATGCACAAAGATCTTTGTTTAACCCGTCAGGTATGACAGAATTTTTAACATGGAAATGCTAAAGCAAATCTTCTGCTTGAACTGAAGATGGACATGAAGCTGGGCCAATGCTTCTATACTGAAATAAACTGAATATTCACCCAGCCAGCTGTTTAGCTGCAGTGTGCAGCTCAAACTGCACAGCAGTATCTTACTGTCTTCAGACCCTGTCAGAAGTTATCTACCCAAGTTAACTTCCCAAAATTTTTTCACAGATTACTGGTCCGTCAGCAAGATGGAACAAGTCCACAGGGCTGGCTAACAGTGAACACAGACACTCCCCACTATCTATCTAATTAGATACCTACACAAGGTACCACAGCACAGAAAGGGAGCTGCAGGTCAGAACTGGGCTGCCTAAACCACTGCTCAGATACCAGTAGCTGCTGCATAAAAACTCAATGAAAAAAATAGACTTAAAATATTTCGGTGTCTATTTGTGCTCATTTTCTAAGGGAAATTAGGTTTCATGCAATCACCTCACTCATCCTTCTGGCTGTCACTGAAATAAATTTCAAACAACTTTAACCAAAGACGACAGGAAGGTATGACACCTCAAAGATACAGAACATCTCAATTTCATAAAAACTGGCTGCTGGGATAAACATCCAGATTAGTTCCACTGGAGAGGAAATGTCTCCAGTGTGAAGACAGGTTTTACTTGTGTGCTTCACTACCTTGCAAATTAGCAGGTGCTTGACAGCTAGACAGTCAGCTGTACACCCAGCTGGAACCAGGCAGGTATTGCTTCTCACCACCTGGCAATTAGAGGTTAGAGGGAAAACTAGAGGTGTAGGGTAGTGTACAGACACAACAGGATGTGAGGGTCCATTACTTCTGTTGTTCACAACAGAAGGTTTTATTAAGTCTCATTGTGAGCATTAAAAGATTGATTACTACCAACTACAGTTCTTCAAAACGTGTCATCTACACATACATGCAGATTTTGGCCATCTGGCCACACACAAGGCCAGAGCCCATCCTCAGACATAGACATGTTCAGACCTTTCAGTCAGCTATCCAGAGACTGCACTGCAGGACTACCGTTGCAATAAACATACACCAGAAAATGCTTCTGAGCCAAGCACTCCAGTTACAGGTACTTCACACGAATGAGTCTCAACATTTCTTCTTTAGAACCAATATTAACATCAGCAAATTGTTTGAAGGTAATACTTAAAGGGTCAGGGGTAGGGGCTCAGCAGAGACTAAATGCTTTCAGTAAGACCCACATACAACTTGTGCTCCAGAAGTGTCTGAAATCAGAGGCAGTTAAAACATTGCGCACGAGTAGTCATTTCACCACTTTCCATCCATTTCAGCACACCATGTACAGAAATAGTCTTATATATTTTTTGCTTCAAATTAAACTTGCAAATGTTCCTGTGGTCTTGCCACAACTAAAGCAGAGACTGAAGAGGCAGCAGATGCAACTCTTTTGCACAAAGTGTGCAGTCACCCTTTCATGATTATAAGGTAACACTTAGCACAGGGATGCTCACACAGAAGAACAACCTGCCAGCACACAGGCAGACAGACCTGTTGATCAGAAAACAGCTCATGACTGGCTAGAGGCCTAGCAATATCAGGCTCCAGAACCCTGCAAGCAAAATAATAATTGCATTTCTGTAGGAGGAGCATACATGGCTACAAGAAAAAAAACACACCAAACCCACAAAAGTGAAGTTACATCTGGGTCATAACAGAAAATAACTTCTAGCATTTGGTAGCATCCAAGGCAACTCGGAAGTTGAGAGCTTAGGAACGCCTGCAGTCCTACATGCTGATGCATCAACTAAGCCCAAAAGAGGAACACCAACACATACCATTAAGGCTTAACAAAACTCCAACTCTTGTGCTGTGTAGTGACCTAAAGCCTACCTGGCCATGTAGACTTTCAGCAATAACTTCAAATTTTTACAACAATCCAGTTTTAAAAAGATGTTTAGTTGCTGTCTTTCGCTACGGCACAAAGTTCAGCTCTATTACTGACATGGAGCCATATGAAGTGCTAATTACAATTAAAAAGATAAATCTGATATAGTATCCAGTAAAAATGACAGACCTCTGCTATGGACTGCATCATAGTAAGTCTGCTGTACTCTTTTTCCAGCATATCCAGCTTTTCCAATTTAGACTGAACATGTGATTGATCAAGAATCCGATCTCTCTCCAACGAACCCTTGAAGGGAGAAGTGAAAAGCAAAAACAACTATAAGCACAATAAAACAAGACCATCTATAGTAAGCCTTATATCTGCTGCACAAGGAGGCTCATGAACAGCACAAAGGAACTACTACTTCCTCAATGTAATTTTAGATGGTGCTATGATCAGGGAGCACCACTGGTCCATCAGTGTTGGGAACCTCACACTCAACCAGATTTGGATGAGACAATTCTGAAGTCCCTCCTCCCTTTGAACCCAACATGGTAGAAAACCCTCATTACTCATTCTTATGGGTTTTTATTTCAGTAATTATTTAACAGACTGAATTAGGCCAGCCACAGAGATCAATGAACAGAGTGCTAGGTGATCCATACTCCTATAAAGCAAAATTCAAGCTTATTTTAAATAAAAGGCAAATCTCAGTCACTGACAGTGGGACAGAAATTTTATCATTATTTCTACACAATCAGTATTTCAGCCCCGGTTTAGCAAAAGCAGTACTAGTAAAGAAAATCCCCAAAGATCTGAGGGGTGTGAACACAAAAGGGAAGGGGTTTTCAGCGGCAGATGGGTATAAAACTAAGGGATAAGTATGAGCTACTGTGGTAAGCCAACTGTGCAGAAGCAAACAATTCTTATTAATATCAGAGCCTGATACTGCCTTAGAGACAGGTGCACAAAGGCAGAAAATACCAGGGTCCTGACAAGACTGGGGAATATAAGTAGGGAAATTATCCACACTTAAGTATATAAAGGCCAGCTAAAACAGACATCCACACTTAAAAGCTATGAAAACTGTAGTAACTACAAAAAATCATGACACAGGGTCATGATTTTTATAATTTAATCTTCAGAACACACCTGTTTCTCCAGCAGATGTGACTTCTCATTTTCTGCATGCTGGATCATTTTTCTCATGTAGTCCAGCTGTTTCTCTAAAAGGCTGCACCGAGACTCAGCAGCTGCCAGCTGAGAAGCCAGTTCTGCAAATAACAGAAGACAGAAAAGTGAAATCATGCACTGCTTGTTCCAGGGATTTTTTTTTATGTTTTCAGGACAGTTCCAAAACAAAGAAAAAAAGGATAATTAAAGAAACTCACAGATTAAGCCTGATGAACCTTTGTATGCATTCAATCCCTAAAACAAAGTGTTTTTAAAATTATTTCTTTGTAATTCCATGTATCACTACAAAGTTAAAGATGCTGAATGATGTAAATTAAAATAGTTTTATGCATTGCTAGAAATCAAGTTTCATCCACACTGTTCTGTACCATCTATATTTGCACACAACCTTGATTTTTCTTTGACACTTCAGTCTTGTCCTGCTCTTTATGTTGCATTTGTTCACTTAGTACTTTTTTGTAGTCTGCAGTTTCTCTGCTGAGGTGTTTTACATTCTCCTCTGCCTGAAGCCGTTCCAACTCCAGTCGATGAATTTTTTCCTGGAGATTCTTCAGAGCAGAAAATATGGCTGTAATTGAACAAGTACCTTGTGTTAGATACCATTAAATCACCTCTTCAAGATAACATTGAACTTGAAACATTTTTAGAGAAGCACGTTATATAAGAAAGTCAGAGTGTTCCTTACCAACATCCAAGAGTACTTCCAGGAATAAAGATCTGCTTCCCTTTAAAACATAACTGATTCTAAAACTAGCCTCAAATAAATAGATGCCCTTGGTCCACACCTTCACTTAAAACATTTGGGAAAGATGCATCCATTTCCCAGAACAAGGAACATAAATATTCTGTAGATGAAGTGTAAACAGTGCATCTTTTGACTCTTTATCAAAAGGAAATGAAAGGTCATAACTAGTTAAAACAGTGACATTTCTCTATATTATTATTCCTCTACAAGTGCATGCTAGCACAAGAAACACACAGACATAATACTCCTAGGAATGGTCACAGAGGAGACTAAAGGTTAGCTATCAGAAGGGCTATAAAAGTTTTTATTTCTCTAGGGGGCAGTTCTGGTTTGATTCTTCTGGTTTTACACTTGTGTTTCCCTCCTCCTCCCCCCACAAGACGTGCATCACCTTTGCGCTGAACAACTTTCCTGTTTTCTGTTCCACTCCCTGCTTTAGCAATCGCTCAACAAAACCTTTATATATTCACTACCACAAAAAGAAAAGCAGTTGTAATAGAACTCACATCACCTTGCAATTAGACCATCTGCTGGTAATCTGGTGTATTACGTCTCTCAGCTGTATTGTTTAATTCTGCAAAGGGAACCATAACCATAAGCCCTTTCCCCTATACAGCCCTGTTAAAGTAAAACACAGGGACATCTGTACAGATAGCTCATATAGCAGACTAATCTGCAAGGTCACACCAGCCCACTCCTTTGTGCTTAAATCCACTCCAGAGAAAGAACACACCTTTATTACAGAGCACAAGAAAAGTCAGGACTGCTTATTTGAGCATCAGATTACAAAAAAAGAAAGGAAGAATAATTATCAGGATGAGTTTTCCAGCATAACAACCCATCAAGTCTTGAAATGCAGAACAGCACATTTAGAGTACACCATTAATAAAAACTACTCGGTTTAAAATACCTGTTACATAAATAAGAAGTGGGTGACAGCAGTCACAGTTAAGGGGAAAGGTAGCCCTGTTTGCAAGATCAGTCACCAACTGTACCCTCCTCTATTTATATTACTGTTGCCAGGATTCAGTTGAAACAGGCATAGCTGAAACTATGAGCAGCTTTGTTACTCTTATCCTTAGAGCTAAATTGAAATTTCTGTATAATAAGGACTAACAAAATACAGCAGTGAAGCAATAAAGGTGAAACCCAAGTAAATGTCAAGTGTTGTTCAGTCATCCTTATTAGATTATTAAAGCCAACTATGTATGCTGAGACTCACACATACACAACAAACAAAATCCAACCCAAATAAGCAGAATTTACTATACTCAATTTCAAGATTTTTCAATATGATTTTTTTTTTAAATTTGGGGGTGGGAGGGGTGGTAAGGACACAAGAACCATCAAACCTATTTTCCCATCTAATTCCTATATCCTTAAACTTACTAAAATGTACACTCCAGAACATTTCTGCATTTTTAAAAGCTATGCAAAAAGAATCATAGAATCATAAAATGGTTTGGGTTGAAAGCAACTTTAAAGATCAACTAGTTTCAGCCCTCCTGCCATGGGCAGGGACATCTTCCACTAGACCAGGGTAAAAAAAAAAAAAAAAAAAAAAAAAAAAAAGATATTGGATCATCTGCCTGTTGGATTTAATTTTCAGTACATATTCGTATTTACTTAAACTTTTTTTGAAAATAGAGACATTTCATACTTTTTAAAAAGATACACACTTTATCAGATTATCTCCCTCCACCTGTACTTATTTCAGAATTGGCAAATTCCCTGCTTGAAAAAAAGCTGCCAAGTGAAAACTTGGAAGTCAAAAGTTTGTCACTAATGCAACACAATTTACAAAATTATGCCTGCATCGGTAATTCACAATTAAGCTCTTTTCTGCATATACAATTTTTTTATCTGTCACAAGGTTCCTTTAGTTCTGTATTGACAGCACTCTCAAAATTGATGGCATTGAGCATGTAAGAACAAATACTGCATTTTAAACAGCACTTCAAGAATTGGGATTTCATCTACTAGATCATTAACACAGAAGTCTCCAGTAACTCAGACATGAATTATATTATTGGAATAAGGACTTGAGGCTGTCATGCTGATTTTTTTACTTAAAGTAGTATTAGGATTCATCCTAAATCTTTCTGGAGATGAACACCAGGACCTGAGTGGGAAAGGGGAGAAGGAATAGCCTAGTAACAAGAGTAAGTGGGAGTAAAATCACCTCCCTTTTTGGTGGTGTGAGCATTCGGTTCAGCACTATGATGAACTCTTTTCTGTATCCTCTAAATCTTCACTAATACTCTCATCACACCCTTTGTCCATGATAAGCCTTCTCATTTCAACCAAACCTCTCTTTTGCTTCAAACCCTTCTGGTGACTAAAGGCTCCTTATTTCAAAGGCAGCTGTGAACTCAGGAGAGGAAAGATTGAGGGAGAAAAGGACTGAAGAAGGGAAAAAGAAAACATGTCAGGACTATTTCACAAAGTACTCAGCCAATATCACAGCTCTCTATTACTGAAGAGGAGCATCTTTCTCCAGCTGTAAGATGACCTTTTTTCACTAGGTATTCCTCAAAGAGAAGTGCAAAGGACCTACAAAACAGGTGACTAGCACATCACTGGGAAGTGATAAAAGGATAAAAAGAATGCAGCCTTTGTAGATGTGGACCTACAGTATTTCACCACATGACTTGGAAACAGGTAAGAAAAAAACTTTCCTGAACTATTACCTCTGCTGTTGCTTTCAGGATATGGAATTACTGGTTTCCGTGGGGAGCGCAGCAAATCTGAATTAATAAATGGCTTGTACTTTGGATATTCTATAAATGAAGTTGCAGAGAGTCCATCTGTGGCTGACGCAGAGTTGCAAGTTTTGTGCAGATCATCCTAAAGACAAAATAAAGCTGTTATTCGGTGCATTTGTTTCTCTGTTCACAACAACAAAAAGGTAGAATCTGATTAGATGAGGTATAGAAGTACTGCTGCAGGAGACTAATACCTCAAAAGCTGTATTTCCTTCCCTACAGCCCTAGGCTGTGTCATTTTTACACCCAACTCCCCTCCACTAAAACAGAATTGGAAATAGAATGTCTTTCCCATCCTAGTTTCCGCTTTTCCACTTTTGTTTTCTACTTACTCATACCATCTCTTGCTTATTGTGAGAGGGTAATACACAACCAGTTGGAAAATAGCCACTTTCTTAACTACTGATTATACTTACAGCACGTGGGCCACCTTACCAAAGTGGCCAAACCTGATAAAGGACACCCAGGACCACTCCTGTAACATAACAGCTGTTAGATGAGGGGGACACACCCTCTACTCACCCCACCCTCCCAGCTGCACAGTCCCAACCACTTCCCCACTGGCTTCAATTCATCCTTCCATGAACAGACTGAACCTCACCAGCAGGCCCATCTAGATGACTTTACGCTCCACCTGATTAGTGATATCAGCACAAGAAAAGCAGCAGCAGATCATGGCCAGCAAGGTTCCTCTGCCTCTGAGCAGCAGCATACTGTTAGATCAGCTTCAGACTGTTCTCAAAAACACGGCCAGAGACCACAGATTTCCCAGCACTCTACATCAACTTTCCAAACATTTGCTGTGGTTTGGATGTTGCAATGACCAGAGGGGACCACCTAGGTGAGAACATGCTATGCATTCGAGATACCATTAAACCATGTGCAGAAATTCTAACACAATTCTTCTAAGCAAAATGGCCACGGCACTTATTATTCTGTGTTTATGGTTTTGACTCAAAAACTGGCTACCTAGCCTAAGCTTTCTGATTTGTGTATATGAATTAAATGAAATATGAATGCTTATTTTTAACATGCAAGAGTAATTTCTCTCAACTGTACCCACCACTAAACATTTCAGTAACAGTATTTGAAGATAACCTAAGAGAAGTGGGCTGCAGGCAGATGCAATGCTCCTACAAGAATTTACTTCACTAAAATGTCAACTGAGCAATTGCTGATCTTGGCAGGGGTTTTTTAAGCTTTTGCAAATACCAATTATTTGGAGCATATTGTGACCTAAATTAAAATACAGCAAGTATTCATGCAAGTATCTCATAGCAAATTAAACAACAGGCCAAAACCCATTAGGAAGAAGAAAAATAATACAAATTTTCTTATTCTTTTTCCCCTGTAAGTTATTTAAAGCCTATACACAGCTAATTTACTCTTCTAAATGAAGTGATTCACTGTGGACATGAAAATTAGGACCCTAAGTACTCTGAATGTATCAATCAGCGTTTCTAAACAGTTTTATGAATGCTTTACAGTTTGCATTTATAACATTTCCTACACAACATAATTGCTTTTCTTGGAATAACTGCATTTGCACAAGAACTTTTGCTACCACTGAAAGACAATTAAAACACTAATCCCCAATTAAGATTATATTAATAAAACTATTTTTAAACAGGTTTTTGTATACATGCATATACACAGTTTTATACTCAGCAGCCACACTGATCTAACATGTGAATTTAAAACCAAATGAAAGCCTGTTAGGTGCTACCATCAAGACCTAAACCTCAATCATACAAAAATACCATTCGTGTTACAGGTTGTTGAACCGAGGAACACAGAATAAGAAGTCCAAATAATGAAGTAAAAATGAACCAAGCAAAACAAAGTACTTCATGCAGCAGTCAATAGAATAACAGCATCAACGTAAACCACAGCAACCCAAATGACAGTAACTATTGATTCAAAAAATCAATATACTATCTGCTATTGATTCAAACCAAAGGTATCCCATGAAACAGTCAAAAGAAAAGGTGAATCAGTTTGAAATCAAAGTAAGGCTGCCAGCATCACAATTTTCCTAGATATCTTTATGTTTCACATGTAAAGTCTTGTCTGTGAATTAAAAATAACTACATAAAAACCCCAAACTACAGGAGGTTTTTTATTTGTTTTTACTGTTGTAAGTAACATTTTTCTAGCCAACAGCAGACTAACTTAAAGTTAGTCTTAAAACTAGCACACTCAAAAACTTGAACTCCAAGTTACACAAAGCAAAACAAATACAGACTTTCCATCAGTTGCACGTCTTCTAAGTTTCTCCCAGATGCAGGGTACAGGCACTAATTTGAATAGTATAATAGTCAGTACAGATTATCTTCTTGAAGTAAATACTGAAAAAATTGTGCTGAAATACCGTCTATTGTATAAGCAGCTGTTCTTTGCTTCAGTATAAATAATCACTTCCTACCAAGAATATTTTCCTTATATGTTTAAGCAAAAGACTGGTTTATATTCAATTTCACGAATAGTGACTTCTAAATAACCTGAGTGAAAAAAATGAGAAAGTTTACAACAGCATCAAGGAATTTCCCATCACAAATCTCAGACTCAAATATCACACTAATTCTCCGCTCCTCTCCTCAATTTCATGCAAGTCATTAAAAAGTTTGTTTCTGCTCTTGGAAATTCTCACAGGGATCATCATGCTGTGATGCTCAGAAAAATCCTGAAGCATAAAAGAACAACAACAACAAAAAACCATAAAAAATCCATATGGAAATCAGAAACTATATATTTGTTCTGAACCTCAGTTAGGCCATATTTGCTAACTACATATTCTCCCCTCATTCTGTACTCTCTGTAGTACTTCCTTAAGCCACACTAAAGCCTCATAATAGTTAACGCAGAAGCTTAGCAGTTTGACAAGGAGCTAAACCCACCAACATTATGTAATAGTAACAAGCTGCGCACATTTAACCTTCACAGGTTGCAGGACACTACCCTCCAAACCCCATTGCAGCTACCATTGCTTACTCAAGCACAAAAAAGGGAACATTAAAAACACAGAGCAAGGATAACTTCACACACCAGTAGCATGCAGTGACCTCCTGAAGCTCCCAAAGGCTAAACACCATGGATAAAAGGGAAAACAAACAAACAAAAAGAACAACAAAACCCATCTATAATGTCATATGGAAAGTTTTAAAATAAGAATCCTCAACTTGGAGCATTGATACACTTTTCAAACCTAGTAACTCATAGATGGTAAAAATGAGCCACCAGTACATTGTTACTTCTCTGTTACAGTAAAGAAATAAGGTACACCATGGAAAACTTTCCAGAATGCTATTAATCTCAGTGGTATACCAAAAGTTTAAGAAAAAAAAAGCTCTATATTTTTCTCACTAAACAGAATTTGGCTAGATCTCTAAACAGCAAAAAATAACAATGATTTATAAACAAACTGTAGAACCAAAGAGGCAGAAAAATGAAGAAAATCTCTCAGGCACTAACTGCAGCAAAAAACCATGAACTCACCAAGTCAGTATCTTTGGTACTAGCCCTTTGGCACTGGGAAAAGGGACTAAATTAGAGTGGGTGCATTGCAAGTTCTTATATGGGTGCTCAGAACAGAAAAAGAATAAGAGAAAAAAAAATAAGCTTTGTAATGGTTTAAATGACAGCCAGTGGTCCTAATGCTCATCTTAATTTTCCCATATTTCAGCTTTTTTTTTTTTTTTTTTTTTTTTTTATCTAGAGACTGGGAAAAAAAAACAGAATGAGCAGGTATTAAGTTCACTGAGCATAAAACATCCAAGTACCCAGTTACTGAAACTTTCAGAACAGCCATTTTGGAAACACAACCCCAGTTAGCAGCCTGCCCTCATCCCTCAGTACCATTACTGGGAGAGCAGGGAAGGAGAACAGCCCCTATCACCCAGAGATTAAGCTTAAGTGCTATCTGTGCCTGCCTGATACTGACTGTGTCAGGAGTGCTCTAAATTTAAATAACATCTCTAGTTAAAAGCAGATATCAAAAAGCTAGCTTAGTCAAGCCATTACATCAAATAGTGAAAAAAATAACATTGGCACAATACAGTCTTTTTTGGTTAAGTTTCTACTGCAGTGTGCCAGGCACGTTAAAAGCAACTATTTTCAAAGTTCAGAAAATATAAAGTTTGCTTTTTTCCTTTTTTCAACACAAAGAGTCTTAGGTGGGCAACTTTTTTCCTACAGGTTTTGTTTTACTAACTAAATTAAACTGCCTACATTAATCTACTTTAAACTAGTTTTCTGAGATCCTTCTTTATGCATGCTAAAAAAAAACACCAGTCAGGAAGTATATAGGAGTCCTCAAATTACTCTGTCACCACTCTTGCTGGTGCAGGCGTAAGTGTGGGACCACACTGTAGAAGAGACACTCAACAGAGAACGCAGACTGGGTGCTCACCGTGAAGCTAGTGAGACCCCAAACCATGAATCCTCAACAAGATACATCTTGCACACCATCATGCTGCCTCTTTTTCACATCTCTATTCCTCCAAAGCATGCAGAAGACACAGCTACTCACAAAAAAACCCAACCTCAAAGTCACCCGACTTTAGAGAGCTACAAACATCAAGCCAAAATGTCATACAAGAAACCCAACTGGAAGCTTCTGTTTCAGGTGAAGATCTGGCAGGCAGCTTCCATCCACCCAGCTCAGCTCTGCCCGCTGTGCTTACGCCAGCCAAGCCTCTGCTTCTTCATGTCACCAGCAGAGACACGGGTCCTACGTTCAGCACCTTGAGAGGGACGCGAATGAGGAAATTCTGGTCCCCTGCGTGCAACCACCTACGTCTTACCTCCATATCTGCCAGGTGGTCACACTCACGCCTAAGGATACAGGTACACACTGAAGTTAAAAGTCAGCTTAAGGCAGCAATTTCATTTTACAAACAGAAACAACCAGAGCCTAAATCTATTACCAGCTCTCCCATGGGAGGCAACGGCTTGCTGTCATAGCGTAGCTGACCCGTAATTGCACAATTACACGGTTTAATTGCGCCTCGCCTGTCTTTGGAATAGGCGCTTTCAAAGTCATGACCCCAATTTTTTTCTGAAAACAAACGGAATTACATTTTATTCCCATTCGTTTACAAATATGCTCTCCAGACACTAGCACGAGGACAGTAAGATGGCTGACTTAAACAGCAGGATACCTTTATCCTTTTCTGCCACTTTCATAACATATCTGTGCCTACAGGATGGTTCGAATACAGGTACGCTGCATTTAAAAGACAAGACACCTTCCCCCATCCACGCTGCTGCCGGCACGTCGGGGGAGGACAAGCCGCCCGCCCGCTGCCCCCGGAGCCCGCCGCGGCCCCGCTCCCG